GAAAGTTTACAACACCCAATCACAAAGTTTTGCTGATTAAGATTCTTCTTTTTTTTACCACTGAAGTATTCACGTGTTCCAAAGTAATCAAAGCTTTCAAGCAATAGAATTTGTAGACCGACCTGTTCGGAAAAGCTTGACATCTTTAACATTGATCTTTCCTAAGCTTTCTTCACAAAACATACATGGCGCTCTGGAAAATTTTTGTATGTTGTTAGTCACATTGCAATTCTTACCCCCAGTTTCCACGGTCTCCGCTAGGAATGCCTGGGACCGTGATTCCCCCCCTTTTGGAGTGCTCAAACACACACAAAAAAGAAAAGAAATGCTTGCATTTTTAGAGTATCATTGTTAAAGCATGCTTGACTAAAAAATAAAACCTGTTTAAAAAATTTTTAACCTTTAAGCATGCATGTATGGTGAAAACCTGTGTTGAGCAGACAGATTGGTGCAATGTTCATTAAATGTAGAGGCGTTGGCTTAATATGAATGGCGTAAAGGGGATATGGAGACAGCAGTTTGGGAGTTAATTGTTTTGCCAGTTGAACACAGTTTGCCCATTTAACATGGGGTTCTTTCAAAACAGGTTTTACTGTAGTCTAGTCTTAGCCTGTGTTGCTTGCAGATGTAATCTAACGTCAGTAAGTAATGTCTGCGAAGCAGCACCAAAATCCTTGTTCTGGGCCCCCAACAGACTCAATGAAATTCAAAATTAATCCACCAACCAAGTATGTTGATTTATGCTTCTAAAAGCGTAACATTCAAAGTAGTAATGTATTGGGATAGAATTTTCCTTGATTAACAAATTTCTTTGCTTTTCTAAACAGGTTCAAGTATCTATCGCCGGAGCATTTTTTCTGAAAGTCATAGTTTTAGTGGCAGTCAAGATGAAACTGATTCTGATGCTGAAACTGTTTGTAGTGTGCAGAGTGAATTTATACTGCGACCACATATGTCGGCACGTCAAAGATACTTCAGCACCTACAATCTTAATCCAATTTCTGAGATCACATCTGATCCAAGAGACATTATGGTAAATCACAAATGGAGGAGCATGCCGGAGCTCGCTAGGAGCAACAGTCTTGGAAGTAGTGGTGACTTCCTTCATGTTGGCTTTGATGAGAAGAAGCCAAAGAAGAAGAGGCGTAAGTTTGGGCGTCGATCTGGTCTGTATATTGTAAATGATGTACCAGTTAGTGAGAAGCCCAGGCTGTCTGTGGACAAGGGAAAAAGCAAAAGTAAGATTTTCAGCAAGAAATCAAAGAAACAATCTTTACATGTCAATGAGCTGACCAAAAAATGGTTTGACTCTCGAACAGCTGTGAGCCGGCCAACTGGGGGCCAGAGCTTGGGAAGAATTGTGGCAATGAGAGAAGACCTGGGAAGTGCTTATGTTTTGGAATTGCAACGATGCCCCGGTGGATTATTTGGCTTTTTTATTCAGAAAGGTTTCAATCAGTACAGGAAAGGAGTGTTTGTAAGCCGTATTATGGACGGTGCTTCAGCGAAATTCATGGCAGGACTTCTTAATCCTGGTGATGAGATTCTTGAGATCAATGGAGAGAACACATCCTGCAAGACTATGTCAGAAGTCCATAACATCCTTGCAAATTCTGACAAACTTAATTTGACTGTGTTACCCATCTTAGGTCGTAAAGACTGGTAGCTTTATAGTAGCATTTTACAAGTAGGACATGAATTTAATGTATTATAAAAATAATAATAATAATAATTTATTTCATACCATTTGCTGTAAATGTTGGTCACTGACCAAGGAAAGTAAAAATCCTTTCTACTGATCCTATTTTATCATCATAGACTAAAATCTAAAAATTGAATATTTTCTTCCTTAAGAAATAGAAATTGAATGTGACTCAAATCTTATCAGGTTATGAGCCTTTTTATGCTAAGTGTATCTCACAGTCTGCATTTCTGGTGAAGATAATTTTAATGTATTTGAATTTGTTTGATTAGGGAGGCATGCTTGTAATGTAATAAATATTATAGCAAGCATTAGGCGAATGTTTATTTATGAATGTCCCTTGTTAAAATAATAGTTCTGTGAAGAATTTGACTTCAATTTTTTTACCTATGACTAGCACTTAATATTTGATGACTATTCTTATATATGCTTCACTACTTCAGGTCTGAAGGACGGGAAGTTTTGCCATGGCTTCTTTTAGCATGATCCCCAGCTACTTTTACAGGAAATAGAAAAAAAAAGAAGAAAAAAGAACTTCCTAGGTGTTGAATTCCCCACCTGAGTATACAGTGTACCCAGCAACTTGAAATCTTAGTGACAGCCCCGCTTCAGTCAAAATACTCAGAACACAAAACATATGATTTTTCATTCACAGATATAATTCTGCGGACTGAAAGCATTGTAGTTTCTCGTAACATTGTCTTCTTCAGTGCTTTCAATTTTACAAATTTATTTTTGTCCTTGTATAATAACACACGAAAGAAAAAAATTACATTTTATTTAACAGAAAACATTGCTTCATGTGATTGTACATTTTGATATTGAATATACCTCCACTCGACAGACAAATCTAAATTTTTTTGTTAGTGAAACTTGACAATATCATGCATATAATTTATACCAACTTTAGTCGTCTAAAATCTTGGTTGTTTTGATCCTTTTTATTAGCAGGGTGGTCCAGACGTGTAGGGACTCCACTTGAAGCAAGTAGTAATAAATTAAATTGAAGAAAGTTTGAATCACAGGTTCATGAAAAGAATTTGTTATTTTTTGAACTAGTAACTTATGTCTTACACAACCTATTGATTGATTGATTGATTGTAAGACATTTTCATGCACAACGAATTAATATTTTTGTGAATTTCTATTTGTGCTCACCACTTTTGATTTTCACAATTACATTCGACAGTTCACTGAATAGTTAGTGGATTTATTTACCTTTTAATAATTACACAAAGACACTAAACATTTCCATACTACATGTACAAAAATTTCTGCCAACCAAGGCTCAATGTTACCATAGATAGCTGTTATTTAAAACACCGCCTGTTTTAACTCAATATTAAGTAATGTATGAGTGAGAGAAAAAATATTTTTGTTTAAAATAAGTGGTTATAAGACTTTGCCTTATGGTGGAATGACAAATTCAGCATTTGCAGATTTATAGAACTGAAGTAAACTTAATTAATTTATACTGGTTCTATTGAGATACAAGCATGTATCAAATAGGCTAGTCTGTAAATAAATAGTACTGTTGGATCAGTATCATGGTATTTGGTTTGTCAAACTGGGGTTAAAAAATCTCATGCCAAGGCTGTGCTCTAAGAAAAATTGGAGGGATCCCAGTGCTATGTACCTGTGAAATCCAGGGAGCCCAGCATAGGATTTCTATGAAGAATTATCTAACATCCTGTCAAAACTAATGCGTTTTCAAAATTACGCATTTTCGTTGTCATCGAAAACACATTGATGGATTCCTGTCCACATTTCTGTTTTGATACATTTTTGACTGTCCACGCTAAAATGTTTGGAAACAATGAGAATTGCATTTTGCAGCATAAGTTGAACTCTGTGCACCAAGCTATACACACAAGTTTTTTGAATGTACACACTAACATGATATATGTGTTTTTGTTTTGATCCAGTTTCAACAGCGTTTTCAAATTGATGAGTTTTCAATAACACTCAGTGTATTAGTGTGTGTTTCAAACAAATTAAAAATGCATTTGGTGGATGGTGCCTTAGGTTTTTAAGTCCCCCTGGGAGCAAAAGTTAGGCACAAGGGGCCAGTGGGCCAGCTTTGCATGCAAACACAATAAATGATTACAAAGTTATCCTTTTGGGAGAATGATCTGCTAGAAAGTGTAGCAAATCAGCTGAAGTGACTAAAATGAGTGGAAAATGCACAGCCTTGTAAGTGAAAGCCCATATTTTCTGAAGCTTCCCAAACAGATTAGCATGAACCATGCACTTGTTCTGTTTCTCCATGTAAATGGTAAGTTCCCTGAGGTCAATGGAAATGCACTTGCTAATTTATTATTTATTACCTATCACCACCATAATAAATTTCCATAACAGGACTAAACTACAATAAGTAACATTTCACAAACCCTTTAGAACAGTTTCCCATTGGAGCTCACATGATATCAGCAGATTTGTCCTTGGTCTTGCTGGAAATGCAAAGAGGATGATTAGGACCACTTTTGAAAAAAAAAATACTGTAGAACCCCTTATTCATAGGACACCCCTGGGCACAACGAAATGGTCCTTTGAATAGAGTTTGGGCTAAGGCTTGTTAATAAGTTTTTATTGACCAACAAAGAAAACATTCTCGCTACAGAATATGCTGCAGTCATTATTTCAAGCAGCGGGATAATATAATTATAAAAAATCATGATCAACTTTTCTCTGTGATATTGTGTGTTGAATTCCCCCCAACTTAAAAGTGCAGTACATCAATTTTACGCGAGAAAACTCTTGTTGTGACAGATGTCAGCACTGTAATCAGTGTACACTTCAACTTGTTAATCCTCTTTTTGGTCAATAAATTATCCTTGTTCAGTACCCATTGCACCAAAGTCTAAAAACACTCACACAGCTTTAACTTCTCTTGCATAAAATACAAATTTATTCTTTTAAGTTAAGTCTGGATTGTTGTCCATGTTTTTATGCATACACAACAAATTAGCATAATCCTAACGACCTTTTAAATACTAGTGTATATCTCAATATTTTATCTCATTTTCTCCAAAATCATAAATAAATTCAATTAATTTTCAACCAACATTATATACAACTTGTAAATGGAAAAATAAATTAATAGGTTATTGTTATCACGTTCGTACCTAACTTTGTTTGTTTAGTCATCATGCATGAAACGTACACTGAGTCAATAGTGACAAGAAATGTGTGCAACCTTTAAATACAGCTATCATAAATTAAGCATACTGATCATTTGTATAGGCAACAATAAATAATTTTGATTGACAGTGTTGAAAATGTCCTTTGTGAGCCTATCCAGACAGATGTAATTTTAACTTGAGCTATGAGCCTAAATGCTGTAAAATAGTTGTATGACAAGCCGATAATGTTTGAACAGAGGATAATTCTTTCTCTCTGATCAATAAGAACTCTCATTTAAACAATGATACAAAAAATGATGTCACCAACTGCAGAAGATTCTGAATTGTTCAATACTTGCAGGAAAAATGCAACATGCAACTAATATGCCACCTTTCTTTGTGTAACTAGTAACCAGACATTAAACTTCAAAAATGTGGAGAGAGGATGAAAAATCTGAAAATATTTTAACAGCAAATTCTTAGTAATAATTTTCTTGTTCCAAACCAATTTGGTAGTCACCAACCACAATGGTAACCAGGGATTACAACCCTGAAATTTTATAAAAATAAATCAACATCTGTGTAAATCTTGTCAAAATAAATGGGCCTTTGATCTGACCCTATCCTCTTGGTAATAAATGCCTTGTTTTCTGATGACAACAACAGTAGACAACAATCTCCTTAGCCTGCATACCTGCTGGGATTAGCAGGCTGGCACTGTATTGGTTTGGCAGCAGAGCATTAAGAAAATTGTGAACCAGTCAAATTTACTGTGCGTGTGACAGCTCTGCAACCAAGGAAGTACCACGTGTGTAACTCTCCCACCAGCTACGCAGGCTAAGGGCTCTGCAGCTCACTACTGTATTTATTGCAGCTTATCATTTTTTACACTTCAAAACAGAAAAACCTTTTATTTGGCCCCCTGACATTTTGTCCTCAGATGCACATATCTAGTATTTCACGAGTCGAAGTGACTCTGAAGAGGACTACAACACAGGTTATGTTGAAACATCAGTCTGCACCACTCTGAACAACAACAGTCCTACTCAGGACTACGTTCACCTGGACGATCATACTCGGCCTACTTTTGAAATGACTCCTGGGTTCAAACTTTTCACAGTATGTACCATATTTAGCCTTATCACCAACTCCAAGGATGTCCCTTTTTTACTCCTGGAGTTAATAAATAGGATAACATAGTAGGTCGATAAATAAATGAATGAATGAATGAATGAATGAAAGAAGAGTCGTGGATGAGAGGACAACAGACATGCCCTCTTACAATACATTTTTAACATGTGAACAGTAAGCTTGTATGTCAGCATACAACACAACGTCAAATGAATTTTAGATTTGTGAATGCCGTCATCACCGTTGTTGCCTTCTCTTTGCTAAATCTGCATAACGTACCAGCAGTTCTAACATTTAAGTCCGTGAACAAACTCGGACGCTGCAGTGTTAAAATTCAAATTAAACCTCTCTGGACAGCAGTACTTTTGTTGGTTTTGTTTTTTTTTTCAATACTTTACAAAATACATCTTCTTCTTATTTTTACTATGGTCACATTGATGTAACATAATGAGCCTCCTACTACCAACAAAGTCATTTTTACTTTTCAGAATTCAGGAACCCAAAGATTGACAGTTCTATCAGCACTGGAGCTTAAGAATGCAAGAAGGCTTGGATGCCAGCGGCACTGTATCACTTTGTCCCTGTGATGTGCAACAACTGTGTAAGGAGGTATGTTAAGTTCTAGGTCTTTCCTGATGTCCATCATAATAATACTAGTGTCATAGGATCCTGTTAGAAGAAAGTTATTATCTGGTGAAAAACGCACTGATCGGCAGTCCATTGTATGTGGGGTGAAAAGTTGAAGGGTTCGTCCTGCTGTAATGTCATATATCATGCAGCTACCGTCTTCATGACCTGTCAAATAGATACAAGGGTTAGTTTGTTTTAAACAGGGTGTGACTGTGACAAACATGACGCAATGCAGTGCTGTGGAACCATCCAAGGGGATAGTTCGCTGCAAGCTGTACACAAGCCAAGCTTGTCACCTTTTAAATCGTCATCAAAGTTTTGGACAAGCTGACCTTACAGTATTGGATACCCAAAGTTCTGTGCAAGAAAACTAAAGTTATAACTTTCCCTTTATGGGTTTACAGGTTTTTGCTTTCATTTCACCCTGAAGTTAGCTTCAAATTGCATTATTCTTCCGATCACACATATACAACAAGGCTCTTATCTAAGAAAAATTAAAGGGAGCCCAGTGCTCTGAACCTGTCAAATCCAGGGTGCCCAGGTATAATGATGTTTACTAAAAAACTACCCATGTGTAAAAGTAAGGTGCCATGGGCTATGTACCACCAATTTGTAATATTTGAAGGTATTGGACAACATCTTTACACACTATCAGCCACAACTACAAAGACTCCATAGTAAGCTCAGCAAGTAAAAAAAAAACAGTAGTGGTTGGTGAGATTCACCTCTTCTTTCTTGACAGGCTAAATTGCTAAGACCTCCAACAATAATATGTAAGCAGATAATCATAACACAATGTGCCAAAATGTAACATCAAGGACAATTAATATTAACAGTTAGCAACAAGAAACAATGTCTGCAAAAAAAAAAAAATTCTGTGACATAATTACGACAGCACAGGTTAACCTTACAAAGCTGCATAGTAAGTAGTTAATATTTACCTGAAGCTAACATGTTGCCAGATGAATTCACACAAACTGAAGCCACACAACTATCTCCAGTGGCAATAGCATCTATACACCGCTGTGACCGCAGATCCCACAGCCTGACAGTATTATCTGCAGATCCAGAGGCTATAATATCATCACTGTCAGCGTACACAGACATGATATGCCCTGAGTGGCCCTTGAGTTGTCCAACTGTCTGACCAGTGCTGCAGTCAGATATCAAGATATTCCCATCACCTAAAGTATTTGACAAACTCATTGTTAATAATTGAAGGAGAGAACCTGTGAATGTCCCTCTACGTTAGTAAATGTTTGACATGCCCTTAGTATGAAATGCTCATTTCAAAGACAGGCTCTACAACCATTAAAACGTTACTTTTCTGGTGATAGGTTACCTTAACCAGGGCTGTCAAAAGTAGCCAGGTGCCGGCGAAAATCACTGCCTACTTGGTTAGTATCGCCCAGCTACTTTGCTTGGCATTTCTTTACAGATGGCGTTTTTTACATAAAATATCCCTGGACTGGCTGCTTACTTTGACAAGCCAGTTGTCTACTTCAAAACTTTCTGACAACCCTGATGAACGCAAACTAAGTCCATTGAGGCAGCAACCCTTTTCAGGACTAAAAAAAATTGAAAAGCAGCTTAACTTTGTCCCTAACATTTTGCTTGCCTGGAGCAAATTCATGTTACACCAATGGCAGCCACATTGGCTACACAGCCTAAGTATAATAAATTTCTCTAATAGTGAGGAGAAGTCATTACATCACAATGCCATGGTAGCAAAATTTCTGGATGACAACCAACCGAAAACGTCACTTAAAAAGCGAATTTGCACTGTTTCAAATTTCATAGATTTTATTCAGTTTCATTTAATTTGTCAAATGTTGGCGAAATTTCTGAGTTGAATCCCAAAGGACAGTATCTAAGTTTACAAAAAGGGAAAGAAAAATTTTGTGTTGTGTTCCCCTACTCCAGAAAGCAGGTGAATGAAATTAGGAGGCTTCATGTCGCAGTCAAGCAACGACAGCTAAGAAATGTACAAAAAAGCATGATGTGCATGCAAAGTTGTTGTCTTGCCAATCTAAACCTATTGCTTTTTGGACATTCTAGTTGCCGTTGCCATCGTCGTTGCTTAAGTTCTCTTTTGTTGTCATCTAAAAATTCTGCTACCATGGTAACATTACATCACACTTCTCCTCTCTATAGAATCTTCATCAGTACCTGCTCCACCAGACACCAGCACTGGTGTGCCACTGGCCCTGGAGACAAATGCCAAATCCCTGACAGTGCCACTATGAATGGCTAGCTCCAATCCTGGCCAGGTCACAGAGCAGGTTTCCACATCAAACTTCATCATCTTGATACTTTTGTCATTAGAACCAGTGGCGATGATATCTCCAGTGGCACTCCAAGCTATGCAGTAAATGGAGCCACGGTGGTGCCGGTTACTTTTAAACAAAATTGTTGGTTGTGGAGGCTGATCATGAACACTTCTGTAAAACAAGAAATGTATAATGAGGCCAGTATCTTAGATAATACAGTAATCACTGTTAACTGGGAATCGAGACAAAAATTAGTATGAAAATGGAAAGAGGGGTTACCATGGTAACTTTGAATGACAATAGAGTGAAGAGGTAATGACGACACAAAAACTAAATTTGTGAAACTTAGGGATTGGTTGTAATATCCACAAAAACTGATCCAAGTAATAATATATAATATACCTACGCCACTGAAAAATCTGGAAAAAAATTTATGTTAAACCAATTCTTTTTCAATTTACTGCTTTATCATTGGTATTTTACATAATTTTATGATATTTAAAGTCAAAATTTATACCTCTCTACTCTCTGCTGTGAATGCAAACCCTCAGCAGTGCAAACTCTTAATGTTTTGGAGTTTGAACCAACAGCAAATAAATCACCAGAAGGATGAAAAGCTATAGCTCTGATGGCCTGCACATCCTCTAATGTGGCCACAGTGTAAAATTTTAAATCTGATGGGTATTCCAAGATTTCTCTTTGTTTCTCCAGCAGTGGGACTTGTTTACTATGAGTTACTGTGGTATTGTTGGGTGGTGTGTTGGTGGATGGTTTTCGAAACGTTGTGTTTACTGTTCCTGAATCTCTTCCTGCAAACAAGATAATGAAAAAACAATCATATTTGAACTTAAGAAAAACTACTAAGGATGTCAAAAGGCAGAAACAAGAGCAAAAGCTTGGATCTTAAAATGAAGATGTTGCCCAGGAAGCAGAGCTCAGTCTCAAACATGAACCATAAAAAATTTGGGCACCCTCGCTTGGCTGTACTCTGGAATAAGAATACATTAACTCTACTTAAAATGCCTTGTTTTGGCTTTCATTGCATGGCAAAATCCAGACGTGCGGTGGAAATTAACAATAAAGATGAATGTAGCATTCTAATGATCCAAAACTTTGATGTTGAATAGATTTGCAACAAATTTCAGTGTCTTTTTATTCTGGAATACGATCACCTTTAGGAAACAAAGCAGGAAGTTTGCGATAATATTTCATGTTCACATCATTTGCAGAGAAACCGGAAGGGAAAAAATAATTTTACTGATATTACTTCTAAGTAAAAAATGTGTGTACCTTTCGGAGTCTCATTGTTAGCTCCATTGTGTAAGTGTTTTATTCCTTGAGGATAATTTTCACTTGTTACTCCTCTTGCAGAACCTTAACATAAAATAAGAAATTAAAGCTACAGGATCACGGTATGTTAAAAATAATCTCAACAAACAAAAAAGACAAGTGCATAATTACTAACCAAAAGTGTAACAGGTTGAACTCAAGACTCACTTCAACTAGTCAAATATGAAGCTAAATGCGAAGTTGTGACAATGTCATACAATAACAACATAAAATAATTATCATTGTAGCAAAACGTGAGTTTAACCATTTGTCCCTGGAAATTTTGCCGAAAAATGCACTTTGAAGCTAGTCAAGCAGTTTCCTGGTCACTGTTGTGCTATAAAGAGCTAAAACTTACCATAAAGCCATTTACAGGTCATACACTTCGAGAACTTTTGATCCAGATGCAAAATATTAGCTTGCGAAGTTTGGGTATGCGCAGAAAGCAAACTTTTGATATAGTTTTTTAGTTTAAAAGTGACACAGCAGTCTTGACTTTTACTTTTCGCTTTCTCTCCTCCCTTCATTTTTCGCTTTTCTTGCCTCATGTTTTTCCTCTTTTGCTGGGCATTTAGTGGGCTTCATTTTGGTGGGAAAAGGTTTTCAGAAAGCTTTTAGGATCTCAGAATTAGATGAAAGGAAAGGTAGGTGGGTAGTGGAACAAGCTTTTCATGCTAAGTTCTCTTTGTTCTTTGTTTGCTTTTTCCTAACAGATATGAAGATGAGGTCCAGCTTGTTAAGTAAGGGATTTATTATGGGACTGAAATAACTTTTCCTTGTGGAAACAAAGCAGGCAATCTCACTTGTGAAGACAATCACATCCAGTTTCTGTTTACTTTCAACATGGAAAAAAGGGGTAACAGTACTTCTTTATAAAGCCTGATAGCACTTACTGACATCCACCACAAATGTTGTGCCAGTCTTTGGAGGCTGTCCATTTACTCTGGTGCTTTGTTGGACACTTTCTTGCTGTCCATTGGGGTGTGCCTGGGGTCCTACAGAGGATTGACCACTAAAACCTAATCTGAGCTGAGCAATGGTGTCAAGTCCTTGAGCAGCAATTCTTATTTGCTTGTTTTCTTCCTCAGCTCCTGCCTTTTGTCTGGAACTTGGCACAAGGGAACGACGTACTCCATTAACTTTGGGTCCTCGCTTGACTGTTGCTTGATGATTGAGTGAGTCTGTGTTCTCCTTATCCTAAAAATAAAATAAAGATTCTGAGAAAGATATCAAATATTATGTCATGACACCTGTGCAGGTTAAATAAAAAAAATCATAATTCCTGACAGCATGGAGCCCTCAGAATCCAGCCAAAAGTGCTGGCTGTTCCAATCTCTGAGTTATGGAGGAACTCTGACGTTAGCAGTAGTCAAGATAGAAACATTAACAAAATAAAAAGTCCTCCACACTAGAAACACTAAAACTAATCTTATTTTCATCCCAATAGAGGGATACAAATAAACCGCCATTTTTGCTTGATTGCACGGGCTATGTAAATATGTTTTTGGTATTAAGGGCAGAAACAAGAGAAAGAAAGAGTTTTCAACACAACAAAACCATTTTCAATTAAAATTCTTAAATCTAAGGGTTAATATTAATATCTGCCAAGTTTCAGAGTATGAGGTATTTTGACTGTGAGTAAAATTTCAAGAGGAGATTTTAACCTTTTTGCCTAAGTTTTCAGGAGGCTGCCGACAAAAAGAATCCCACAACAGGGAATCAATAAATAACTACCATCGTGAATCAAAGTAACTACACCTGAGCAACTTGAACTCAACCTAATCGTCTTTGTTAAAAATCTATAAACAGCAACATTGATAGGGTTTTCCGCAAACAGCAACACAAAAAACGTCTTTATGGGCATGTTAGTAAAATAATCATGATGAATTCAAAGACAAGGTTGTTACCTACTGGACTAGCCAAGAATAATGTTAAATTTCTCCTAAACCGAAAGCAATTTTCACTGGGGTACTTGTACAAGTTCATTGCGCAAAATATTATTGAAGTGAAATTTAGTTTGTACTTTTCAAAACAATCCTTTCATGTTTTAAGAGAGCCATTTTCAAAACCTTCAAAGGTCTTATTCGTCTAGATAACACTCTTAATGACTCTCACTGAAAATGAACCTAAATTATTGCCTATGAATTTAAAATGATGACACTTTCCTTAACACTGCTCAGACCATAGTAACCTTCCATTAACTATGAACAAAAAAAATTGACAGATCACTGCTCCATAGTTTATAGTAGACAGAAGTATCGCTACTGTATCCAGAGCACAAGTCTGTCTTAAATAACACAATGTTACATAGATCAGTTTTGCTGTTAAACATTTTTATCAGCAAATCTTCAAGTCTTTTTTAAGGACATTAAGGAGATGCTTTAACAAGAGCACAATAATTGCCTTATTACTAAATCCACAATGAACATACAGTCAAATTTGCTGATCAACTCATTTAACACAATGATGTAATTTTTGACCTTGAAAGCCACAGCAACAGAAATTAATCACCACACCGATGAATCTTAACCTAACCAGCAAGATCCACACCTAGTTTATTTTGATTCAGTAAATTCATTCTATGAAAACACAAGAAGACACACTTCAGGATAAGTTTACAGCAAGAGATGTTACTTAAACTGATGAAGAGCAGCTACAGACAGGTACAATGATAAAACATCAGTATTATGAATTCAGGACCAGTCTAACATTCAAGTAGCTAACCAAGAGAAAGTTACTGTTGCTTCATTTATTATTATTTTTTTAAGGATCTTGAAGTAACTGCTCAAATGAACATTTCAGAGGTTTTGTCCACTACTGGTACCTGTTTAAGCTAATGGAAATGACACAAATGAGTGGCCACCAATGTGTCGGCACAGACAGGGGCATAACAACACAGGTACCCGCAAAACAATCAAAACTGTGAATCACAACAAATATGGCAACTGGAGGTATGGCCCTCCCTGTCTTGCACTCTAAATAACTGAAATGTTAGAACAGAGAATATAGCAGACTGTTTTTGAGCCAGGCAAATATGACTGATAATGAAATTAAGTTTAATCATACTCTAAGGCAATGTGAAATATATGTAGTTATGACAAGCAAATGACAATCCAACACATACATTCTTAAAAAACTCCTTGTAAACACAGTAGGAAAGGGAAAACCATTTGTACCAAGAAGAAACAATAATAATGTTTCCTAGATCAGTGTGGGTTTCACAACAAATAACAAACAAAGAAATGATGGGTACTCAGCAAGACATGATCAATTTCCCACTGCAGAGATGTGATTAAACCAGTGACCTGGCTAATGGTCTGTCAAGTGTGGAAACTTTGAAGAACCATGAAATAAACAACACACATGGATTGCAACACTCTGATAACTTAGCAGTGAGCCTTGAAACTATCCTATTTCACTTACTTTGAAGGTAAACACAGGCATTTCTCTCCAATGGCTTAGATGCAAAAAGTTATGTTGCAAATCACTCCTTCCTTGCTTTCTACACACTTCAAGGCAGTGACTGGGGTTTTAAAAATTACATCAAAACAGATATGATGTCATTGGGGGCTCAAAGCTATGCAGGTGTGAAGAGGAGTGAGTTCATCTCTTGTTGATTAACCACAAGCATGAGTTGTCCAGTGGCAACTTAAATACACAGGGATTTTATCTCAAGAGCACTTCACAATGAGCTTAAAGAAAAACTTGACTGAAGATTTCAAATTTCAAACCATTTGAGAGATTTATCAGAGTCATAAAGAAAAGCCAATTCACAGAGCAAATAGTAGAAAACCACAGCTCGTAAGCTTGGAAATTAATTGTCACAGTTAACTCTTTTGCTCCTTCACAAGATTATGGCAAGTTGATTCTTCACTTAGTCTGTGAACAGAATCCTATGTATGATGTTACCATTCAAATCAAACCTCTTTTTCAGATCTTTTACCATTTAAATGTACCATTTAAATCTTAGTACTTATTTTTCAAAAAAGTTATGAATTTATTTCTTTAACCTCTACTAGAAGAGAAAGGGTGCCTCAAATTCAGAATAACATCACAAAACAACTCAGTCAGTTCAACAGGTTGGCTTTTTTCAGTGCCTTTAATCAAAAGATAAAGAGTTGATTAGATACTTATTTTTAACAAAAAGCAAAACTGTTCCTAGAACGCATCTACACCTCATAAGCAAATCTTACAAAACTGATATTCTTGATGGATGTTGCAGTTTTTGAGCAAGTCAAGAAAGATTAAATGAAGATGACTATCCTGTAGTTCAAACTTGTGTCCAAATGACCAGCAGTTTCATCAGGACATCATTTCCAGACCTGACTTAAATTTGCTTGACAGAACATTCATGACAAGACAGTATATTCTGATGTAAAAATGCTCTGAAAATATAAAACCAAAAAGAAATTTTCCCAAAAGTAAGAGTGCTGATTCTGAACAAGAAAATGTTCCAGAAAATGGAAAACAAAACTACCTTAGCACAAACAACTGAAGCCAACAGCTGCCAATGGATTTTGCATGTGAACTTATGCCTTTGGTTAAGATTCTGTGTCCACATTACTTAAAATATGACTAATATTGAAAGTTTTCAATTTTTAATGTCAAAGTGAAATTTGACTCTAATAATGGACCCTCTCCCAAGAAGTGGAAAAAGTCATTTCTAAATAATGAGTGAAACTCACTGATCAAAAGCATGTTAACAGCTTCAAACTTTTGGTGTGTTAATGGAGGTTAAACTGCAAATTGTATTTGGCATCATGAGGTAAATGCAACAACAACTGTTCATAAATGGTTGCACTGATGCTTTACCATTAAACCAGTAAAAATAAACAGATTGTACATGGATAGTAAATGGACAAATACACCATTTAAACGGTTTGCATATCCATTTAAATGGAAAACCAAAATCGTTAAACGGTAGAGCAATGTCCCAAAATGGATTGCACAATCCGTAAAGCAGAAGGGAAAAACAGTCTGAAAAAGTATATTATTAACAGCTATTAGTCAAGAAGAACTGAATAGTTTCATTATCAGAGTAGTTTTACCTGTCCTCTAATTACAATATTTGTCATTTGTAATATATGTTTGCTGTAATTTTAGCATTTATTAATTTACACACTGATTGTTGTTACCCATTTACTGTATGTTCATCCATTCTTCTGGAATTAATTGTCATAACTGTGCACGTGTAGCCATCATGAGTTGTAATTGAGGAAGCCTTATGTTATAAGCCTTGTGGCCTATATTAAAGGTTTCCTCGCCACTTTCTTTCTTTGTTTGGCAAAATAAATATTAATTTAATTAATTAATTAATTAAATGGATAGCTTAAGGCATTATATGCTTGAACAGAAACTGTACATGGACAGCTGAAAACATTAAATGGTCAGACAAATCATGTACATTTAGAAATGATTAATAAGGGATAAATAATAAATGGAACATCACATTATAATTAAAGAGAGAGATTGAGAATACCTTGACCACATCAGATGGCATAGGCGGTTCACCTGCAGTTCCACCAATCTTTGTAACAACATTAGGTCCATCCACTGCCTTACTCGCACTAAGACCACGCGGAGTAGTGCCGTCCACAGACAGCACAGGAGAGGCGGGTGGAGCAGGAGTTGATGTCATCCCCTGTCGTGTAGCCTTGGGTGTACTACGAAGAAAAGGAAGCCAAGAAAAATAAGTGAGCATCAATGTGATCCATTTATGTGGTAAAAAGTCACAACATTTCTTGTAACCCAACCACATTGAACTGATGACAGAGTCTGTCAAGCTTATAGCATTATTCATTTGTCAACTCTCCCTAAGGAATAACTTTGTTGTGGTCCAGTTTATTCCTTGGTTTAATTTTATTTTCCTTTGTTTCCAACTCCTTGCTGTACATTAACATAAAAAAAACAGAGAAAAATAAAATTTGTGCTGATCATTGATTGAAATCTTAAAGCATTGCCATAAGTGATTATATAAAATGTTTGACTGACTCTTGTGGGAAAAAAATAAATATTTTTGTTGGCAAATAAACATATTCATTAAAAACTTACGTAGTCTTTTTAATGGTCTCATAATTAAAGAAGGAAGACAATTTGATCACCCGCAAACACAGAAAATATTCGGAGCTCCAAATGAGAATCAAACTCAGGCAGGACCCTCCTAAATAGCCTGAGAAAACAGCCAACATTTTGTGACGTCACCACTAGCTTTCCTGCAAAATGACATCTGAGAAACAAGCCCAGAAATTCCATACTGATCCATAGCATGACACTACCTAGATCTGGGAAGTGCTTCTGATTGGTTGAAACAAATATCCGATGCAGAACAATGAATCAGAAGCACCACCCAGATCTGAGAAGTGACAGTCATAAATATGGAATCTTTACACTCATTCCTCATGTCATTTGGCGGGGAATCCAGTGGTTGGCTATTTGCCCTAGCAACCATCCTAAATGGAATAAAATATTCTTATAGAGATTTTTCCAACCATAATTATTGATGATCAGGGCTATCATTAAGAGGCGGAGGCCAGAGATTTCCCCTGGCTACTAAGAACGAAGAACGTGGTCCCCAGCGACTTAGAAGCAAAAGAAATCCCTAGCTGTTTGATTCCCCACCTACTTGCTGTATTAACCTGCAACTCGAAGTCTTACTGACAGCCCTGGATGATTGTTCAGGTGCGTCAATCTGATTTTCTGTAGGTATATTATGAAATCTCAGCTGATCCCCAACACTTTCCTGTACAATATGGAGTCTACCTGCTATGATCATAATCACTCACCTGGTGTTGAGAACTCCAGAGCCATCAGCCAGTGCCACCCAGTGACCTGCACTCAGAATTGCAGGTCCATTTACTAAGGGGGTGTTGGGAAATGTTTGCTCTGCTGGAGTGACAGGTATTGCATCTGCAACTGTACTGTCAACTTTGGTCTCTCCTAGCTTCAAGTCCTTTGGTTTACCTTTGATTCTTCTTGCTGGAGTTGACGTCATACTCTGTGTGACTGTGAAACTACTGGAGTTCTGGTGTTCAAACTTTGGATTTAGGTTTACAGCATTTACATCTTGGGCAGAATTTGCATTCAACAGGTCATGATTATCAGTAGTAAATACTTCATTTGTCTTGTGGTGCTTATGTTCCTGAAAATGTTTTAAGTCATCATTTCTGGATAAATGTTCATTTCTTATATTTCTAAAAGATCCACTTGATTCCGGTCTTTTGCCAGGCATTTCATCTGTAGATGATTCTTCACCATTAGCTTTTCTCCATGTTTCTGTCAAAGACAACTCAAGAAGCTGTCTCTCTAGCCCCTGTTTATGCCTTTGATATGCTTCTAATTGCTCCTGCAGTTCCTGCTGTTGTTTCTCTTTTAGAGCATGAATATCTTCAGAATCTCTGCTTGGCTCTACAAGATTTTCTGCACTAGTAATTAGCTGATGATTTTGATGAACAATATTATCGGAAGTAATGTTAGGTGCAGAATCAAGTGTTGACTTTCCTTGCTCATTTTGCTCTTGTGTAACAGGTTTGTCATGAGAGAATCCATTCTCACCAGCATTAGCAAGTGGTCTTTTATCAGGAATTGTACTTTTGTAGTGAAATTCATTATATGAACGTGAAACTCCCTTGGGAGGCTGTGTGGAATGTGGCCGGTTATCAGATATTGCAGTCCTATGTTTTTCCACTGCTAACGCAGACAGATGTGAAGCAATATCTGCAGTAGCTGGCCTTCCAGAAAGAGATAAGCTCCTTGAAAGAATCTCTGCATCATCTCGTTTGGGAGACTTGTGAAATACAATATTTGGAGCTTGTTTTACTTTCTTCAAATCAACTTCTAAGCTCACTGGTTCAAACGGAGTAATAAAAGCTTCCTGAGCAAGATTTTGTAGCCATGACAAAAAATTGCCGGAGCTTTCCTGTGATGGTCCATTTAAAATGTTGTCTCCTACACAGACATGAAGGTCTTGTGAAATACTACCATTGATTGCACGCAACTGACAGTAGTCAACGCAACTTTCAAAACACAATCCTTTAATTAACAAGTGCAATAACCGCTCTTTTATAGGGGTCAATGTCCTTGGCAATTTTCCATTTAAACTTTTCTTTTCTAGGGGAATAACCTTCTTGAGTATATCGAGCAGCTGCTCAAAGCAGTTTAGCCGGGCGGTGGCGGGGTTCCAGTCGTGATACTCCGACTGTTCAGATAAATTTGGAACAGTTAACAGCCAACACAACTTGCCATATTCAGTTTTGGACGGGCAATCTTCCTCCAGTTGATTAAGACACTTGATCAGATCCTCAATTGAGTAGCTTGTTGAATTTCCACCGAAACCTGACTTAAAGTAAAGCACTTCCATGAATTTCTGCTTCAAAACAAGGTAACGGAATTGCTTGGAATCGAAACCATCGATGCCTTCAAATGGCTGAGCAAAGATCAAGACAGCTTCCCATTCGCCGTCAAGAACAAGGTCTCGTAAAAACAGAATATCATCCGAAAAACCACAGTTAACAATTCCTGCTTCTTTCTCAAGCGTTCTCATGGTGTTGTGAAGTTTTCTAGAGTCCAAAAACTCGAGAATAAGCCTGACAACTTGATTATCCTCCACAACTACGCTGGTATTTATCATCTTGGAAAGAACGGTTTATCCCTGAGTTTATCCCGCGGTTTTAGTCCTTGGCGGAGAGAAAAAGTATTACTTGGCATTAAAATTTTTTGACTCTAGTGGCCACAAATACACATCAGCTTTTAAAATAATGAACAGCAGATGTCATACAAAGCTCATTATTGTATTAGTTTAGCTTTTCTTCGTCCCTCAACCGAAACTGTCTTTTCATTATTTCCAAACGTGGTTTGTAAATAATGCATCGCGCCAAAATTAAGTCCCTGTACGCATGCGCCCACTTGTCATATTCACTTCCGGTTCTGCAGAAGCAAAAAAAAAAACGCCTGATCTCAGGTTACTCTGTACCTGCCGTTTTTCGGACATTTTACTTTAACTGTCCGGGGGGGGGGGGTGACCCAAAAAATTTTTAAACGGGGAGGCCCCCCCCCGGGGCCCAACCCCTTACCCTTTTAAACAAAAAAGGCCCCCCCTTCGTACCCCTCCTATTGCAAAATGGTACCCCTTTCCCAACCGTTTTTTAAACCTTTCCTTCCCCTTTATTTCTTTTAAATAATGTTCAAACCACGTTTGGAAATAATGAAAAGACAGTTTCGGTTGAGGGACGAAGAAAAGCTAAACTAATACAATAATGAGCTTTGTATGACATCTGCTGTTCATTATTTTAAAAGTAGGAGGAGGAAAGGGGGTTTAGGGGGGGGCGTTCGGTATGTTTGTTAGGGGTAAAGGTAAAATTTGGGGGGGAAGGGGGGGTGGTTCTTGGGATAGAAAAAAATGATTATGGCATATTTTGAACGTAAGGGTTGCGGAAAGCGAAACCCGGGGGGGGGGGGGGTACTCAACAAATTTTTATACGGGGAGGCTCCGCCTCGAGGTCCAACCCCTTACCCTTTTAAACGAAAAAGGCACCCCCTTCGTATGCCTTCTATTGACAAATGGTACCCCTTTCACATACTTTGTTTAAAACTTTGCATCCCTTTTAACTGCTGTAAATGCACTGTCTTTTAAATAGGAATCAATCACAAAAATAGAACGTTTTCTCGACTTTTTAAAGCCATAAAATTCATCTGTTAGCTCTTTTTTGGGCTCTTTCACATACCCAAATGACAGATTTCGCTACCCTTTCATATACTTCAATGAGTAAAATCCCTACCCTTTCATATATCTGAAGCCTGAAAAAGGTACCCCTTTCGGGCGGAGCCTCCCCGCATAGGCCATTATAGGGTGTACCCCCCTAACTATACTCTTTCTAAGACGGACAACGGACACTTGTGAAACCATCAACAGACACTTGAGAAGTACTTTATGCAGTGAAAATATCTCAAAACGGAAATGTAGGTGCTCTTCATGATGGTAAATTAATTGTAATATAATTTTTTTAATATTTTGTAGTCTTGCACCAGTTCACAGCAGAATATACATTGTTATGCTTTCAGACCACAAAGCTGTGAATGTTTGCTTTCTGAAAGAACGTTTGATAGCACAATGATACAGGAGACATAGCTTTCCGGTTTCTCAACCAGTTTTAGCTGTTTTGTACAATTTTAACAAACGTCTTTTCATTGCAAATGGATTCAGTGTAAGTTTCTTAAAAAATACTGGTGTCACGTTACCTCAACTCTCTATAAGCAGACACCTCACGAAGACAAACAGTAAGGGCTGGTCCTGAAGGTGTCCGCCTTAGAGAGAGTTGAGTGTAACTGGTTGCCATAAGAATGCTTCAGAATCGTTTTACTGTCAACAGAAAAAAAAATTAAATAAACTGAAAATATCAATGATGTAACAAATTCAACACCTAATTTCATTCCTAGTAAATTATTTGGATTTTTGTCTACATTACAAGATTCTACATGATGTAAGTACAGTTAAAACCCGCTTTACGGACACCCGTTTAACACACACACCTCATTATTAAATGGACAGTTTGCTTCTTCCCTGGTGAAAGAAAGCCCTTACATTTTCTTTCAATTCAACCCGCTTAATACCGACACCCAATTGATACAGACACTTTCTATGAGCCCGTCAGTGTCTGTATTAACAGTAGCTCAGTTGGTCAGTTACAGCACAACTTCCTCAGTGGCAGATCCAGACCTTTGCCCAGTCATTCAGACCCTGAGATGAGGGGGTGGTGGTGGGGGGGGGGTGTCCAAAAAAATTTTTTTTGGCCCTTTGGGCCTCAGTTTGGTTTAAAACTAAGGGAGCCTGGGCCGCCCAGCCCCTCCCCTGGATCCGCCACTGTTCCTGTAAAACTCAAGTGTGACTTGAAACAATAATACAAAGGAGTTAACACAACAGAACCTAGGAAAACAATGATGCAAAATAAATAAAAGGTTCACAGGTTCTTACACCAAGGAAAACCCGTCATTTCTGCTTCAAAATCAACTCTTTCACTACCAGAACGAATGATGGAGTTTTCTTAGGATGCTTTTAACTTTTGATTGCGTGGATGAAGGATAAAAGGCAGCTGTATCCCCAGGCTACAACAACAGAAGACTCCAAATAATGTATGTTAATAGGTCATTAGTCATAATAATATTGACTGGACTTTAGGTTAGGCCAGAACAAAAGAGGTCATGAAAGTATGTTATGCAAAAAATTATAGATAAATGGGTCTTGAGCAGAAACAGCAGATTCATGGCAAGACAATTTCTTAACAACCACAAATATTATTTTATTTTACAAAATGTCACAAACAATAAACTGCCTGCCTTTTCCACAATTCAACCTGTGAATTGGCCTAAGGCCAAGTTTGGAAAAGCTTGTACAGTGAACCCTCAGCAATACACTGCCAATACTAAAAGTCACTGCATTTCCTACATGTTTTCATACAACTCTATTTCACTTCCCTGGTGACTGCATATTGGCTGTACATACAAAGGAACTACAAAGCGAACATTACACGATTTTGAGCAAGCTTCTAACTTATTGATCAAGATGTTGGCATGATCAACAGTTCTTTTCAGATATAAATATTCTTTCCTGTCAGCCAAAGTTAATTTGTCACCATCTAAGATATTCATGCCCTTAGACAAGATTTTGCAAATCAAGATAAAGTCACTGATTGTCAGCATTTGTGCTCTGGGGGTAAATTTTTTTCATATTTTTTTGGGATTATTATCGCTGTCAAGTTGTGGAGTAAACACGACAGTAAACAAAAATCTTGTCAGCCACTTGTCCCTACGGCTTGAACTGTGAAGTATAATAAATATTTAAATTCTTGGGCACAAAATAATCATTAAATTTTTAAGGGTGTGTGCTTTGGGAGGTAGGGTCTTTAATTGCCATGAATAAATACTCAAGTGAAGGGTTTCCTAAAAAAGGTCTAATATGCTTGTCATTAATAAGCAAATTCCATTAGAGAATCAATAATAATCAAATTACGCCCTTATGACTTAGTATACCCCTCCTGGGGGTAGCCTAGAGGAAAAATACAGCAAGATTTCTCTAATGGAATTCAATTTTCAAAATTCAATGTTGAACTAATGACCATATTAATGACACCTGTCATATTTGGACATGCAAGAGAATAAAAAGGCCAAAAACAGATGATCTCAGGGGGTTAAAAAACTAATGAACACAGCCAATACAACCATTTGCATTTCAAGCTTTTTTAAGCTAAATATTGATAACCACAAAAAAAAAAGAGTTCAGATGCTTAGTGTGTCAGTTTTGAATACAACAATGACCTGGGATTTCCCCAAACCAAAATATCAATGCGAGATTTCGCCCCAATGAGATGTTTTTGGAAACAAATAAACTTGCTCATCATTTATGATATTGACAGCTTTCAACAGCTGTTCATCCCCTGGGAGACCTGATCGTAGTAGAAATATGATAGGAATTATAAATAAGGTAAATCGGGCTGGTTTTCACTAGCAAAGGAAATGGGGTCCGATCATAAGTGACATCCTAAGAGTGCTTACACCCTGGTGAATATTAAAATCAGATCTCCTAAGCCCAAATGAGATCAGAATTATGATTAAACAAAAATCCGATATGTCAGAGTTGGAAACAGAAGTCGAAGATAAACCGATCACAATGCCTGTTAACATGCTCCGTGATTGGTTTAGATTGTCTGTCTGCTTGTGCTTCCAACATGTCTCTACCAGATCATACATAAGTAACAAAGTCATAAGCGGAATCAAGACATGGATTTCACTATCATAATCCTCTGCGCTTCTCATAATAATTCCACCTCTGCTGCTAGAAAAAACCAGCCTATTGGACCCACTTCCTGCTTGAGCCATAAATAAGCCTGCATTCTAAATAAAATACTAGGGAGCCTGGTGCTCTGATCCTGTAAAAAACTAGGGTGTCCAACATTATGATTTCTATTTAAAAACTGCAAAAAGCATGAAAGACAAATGTCACATTGTTATATCACTCATCATCTGAAAGCACAATTATTTCATCAGCGATTTCCACTTTCTTTGGGGTTTTTCTTCCATTTTTTTTCAAAGACAATGCTGACTTTCTTGGTTCATTATTTTGCACATGAGAATGGCCATTGACTGTGCCTTGGCTTGGAGAGACATTAGTGCCCGTTATGTATAGTTCATCATCTTCACTCTTAGAGGATGAAGCAACTTTACCACAATTTGCTTTCTGCTCAGAAGTGTCTCCTTTAGCATTTAGGATATTATCCTTCTTTCCCACAATTTCCAAGGTTGCATTACGGAAGACTTTAAGAGGAGATTCATATTCCAGTGATCCACCCTCAGCTTTTCTCTTCTTCATGCTAAGAGACAGTATTGATGGCTTACGATCTTTTAGAGATACAGATGGGACAACGTTTGGATTATCAGATTGACTGTTAGCAACACTATTTTCTGGTGAAAGTGCTTCTCTCATGTCTTTTTGTTTTCCTGCAGTTGCTTTGCCAGATGTTTTCATGCTTATTTTGTTGCTAACATCGCTTGAAACACCAGAAGAGCTAGCCACTGTAGCAGCCAAAACATCAGTTCCACTACGAGACATTCCAGGACTGGCTTGGTCATTGCTGGATGCAGAAATGTCAACAGATCTTGAGGTCAAAACTTCGTTGTCTAAATTTGAATCTCGACTCTTGACGCAATCATTAATTTGTTGATCTTTCAATATAACATCATCAGATTGGTGAGTATCTGGCAGAGAGGAGATTTCCGAGTTGTCCAACACATTTGACTCTGCTGTGGTTTCATAGCTATCATTGCTGCATTTTTGACGCACATCCACAACCTCTACTTGCTCAATACTGATGGATTCGGACAACACAGAGGATGGTATTTCTACAACAGCACAGTCCCTGGTAAGTTCAATTCGTTTTGTTGCTGGTAAATGATGGTTTTCAGCACTTTGTCTGCTTTTACTTTCTGTGTGCTTAGTTCTTTCACTATTGTGATGTGGCCGTTTAAAAGCAAAATCATCAAGGCCATTCTCACTAGTATATGATAATTTCCGAATTGAGTGTGCCTTGTCTCTCTTTCCTAAAACTGACTTACTGCGATAAGTTTTATCCTCATTTGGGTCCTCAAAATCCAATCCTAAATCATCACGTTCATTTTCACTAGAATCTGATGATTCTTGGACAGAAACACGAGAAAATTTCCTTTTCATTTTGCTGCTTTGTGATTTTTCTCTCTCTGAATCACTGCTACTAGAAGCATCACTGCCTTCATTTTTCATGCGTCCATAATGAGCATACTTATTAAAAACATCTTCCAGGGCCCTTTTGCTTATCTTCTTGTTCTCTTCCAATTTCCTTTGAAGGGCGAGATCATTTATTGCAGGGTCATTACTGGCAGAGTAGTCATCCGTAAGATGACAACCAAAATTGTTGGAAAAATCTAGTTTGCGTCTCTCTTGCAACTTGTTTCCAATGGCAACAAAAACCTCATCACTGATCTCCCTAAGGGCTTGAGATGATATTTTCAAGCCATGCTCCCTCTTTGCATCTTGAATGACTCTAGAAATGTCAAATTTGTCTGGAAAGCGACCTCTTTTTTTCTTTAGGAACTTGTTTACAGCCCTGTCAATCTCTGGGAAGCCTGTGGAAGGGCATTTGACATCCTTTTCGATTACCCGTCCTGTGTCTGTTGGTCTTCCCCGTATTTTGCATAATTTAGCCCAGATTTTGTTAAAGCGCTCTTTCAGCCGGCACTCTTGGATGTAGGTGCTATCACTCATGTTCATCTCCTCCAAGCTCAACTCTGCTTGATTGAGAATCTTTATTTTATCACTTACGTGTTTTAGTTTCTCCTTAAGTCGATTTATGCGTACCTGTCGCTTTCGAGGAGTGAGTGGAAGTTTCGATCGCGAAGGATCCGTGGTTCCATTGGTTTTTCTTTTACTTTTTCCTTCCTTCGTAACTTCCACGTGCACGCTTGTAGAGAATTCAGCTGAGGATGTACTTGCCTCTGTAGCCGTCTTTACAGAATCCTTTTTTCGGACAACGCTACCAGATTCCTTTCCATCGCTGCGATCCGTCGTCAGACGGACTGCGTCTTTGTTTACATTTTCCTCCACGCGGTTCGTGATCTTGTTTCGTGCGGAACTAAAAACTCCATCGATGGCTTCTTGCTCTGCTTTCTTCACTCCTTCCGTTTTCGATTTAAACTCATCCTGCTTCAGATCTGCACCAAGAAGCTTGCAAACATCTCCAGTAAAGATAAACGCGTTCGACTCGTCAAGCTGTTTTGTTCTCCATTTGACAGAACTTTTGAACTTCGTGGACGACACGAAATCCGAGGGAGCTTCAGCGAATTTCACTTTCAGAAAAACTACGACATAGTGTGGAATATGTCGCTCTGCTTTTACGATAAACTGTTTAAAAAGCTCTTGGACGTCTTCATCTTCATCGTCGTCGCTGGATAGAACTATGATAGCCTCACTTGGAGGTTTACTTGCCCCTCCTTCCATTTCCAAAATTTCTTCCTTTCAATATGGCGCCTTCCTTTCACTTACCAAGCATGACCTCGCATCAATCTCAGCTCATCTCTTCTCGATTCAAGCAAAAAGGGCGCAATAATGTCCAAATTTGGCAAAAATAAAACAATGTACTACCAAATATGGCAAAAAGGTTGGATCTGAGCGTTCCGATTGGCTAAGATATAATTTATGTGCATAACTTAGATCATTGCGCAATAGTGACATAAATTATGCAAAATTATTCACAAAATTTACGCATTTTTCGTTTTTAACGACGACCATCTCATAACTAGAATTAGCTCAACAAAATTATCGAGTCAAAATGTTCGACTGCCGGGGGCAAAGTTCAGGTGAATTGAAACTATAATTTGGGTTTTTGAAAGCTTTATTTGCAATATCAGACTAAAGTTAAAAATTTTGAAATAGAATGGAAGGTATGTTCAGGACAAATGCAAAAATCAATGGGCTATTTTCACAATGGCGTCATTTTAAAATCAAAAAGCTATTAAAATTCAAACACTGAAGTGGTATTAGTAAGATGACGTCATCGTGCAAATGGTTAATTGCATCATGCCTTGGTATAAGAGCCTGGGCTTGGCCACAGCAGTAACACTCCACCCCGACACCCACCCCCACCCCAGCACCATTTCCGCATGAATCTTATGGCAGATTATGGACATTTTCTGGAGCTGCAGACAGACATTGAATAAATGTTTGTGGCATTGTTACATTTAGAAAAGGCCTGAAATAACTATAGTTCATAATTTCCAAAGAAGTTCAGAGAAGAAGTTAACCCTTTAAGCCCCAATATCCACATACAAACTCTCCAAACTGATCTCTATACATTTCCTTAAAGAATGAGTTGAGAGAATTTGATGAAAGATCAAAGAATTTTCTCTTAAGTGAACATTTTCTTAATTCTCATAACCTCATCTCATGACAATGTATGGATATCGTTAGGAGAAAATTGATGTTGGTCACTAATAGGACTTAAAGGGTTAAAAGGCATTGACTGCTTGAACAGCTAAAATGCAAGACTCAAGCCAAGACACCAATAATGGAATTTCTGATATTTATCATACACACACACAAATACACAAACAAACAAAGCTTTAACTATTTTATTATAAGGCTACAATAGTACACGCACTCTGATTGACTGTTTCCTTGTAATGACCAGGCATTATTTTCTTGTCTTAAATAACCGGGCATTACTGGCTAGGTGTCCTAGGTGTCCTTATGGACATCCATGTTATAGTCAATTGACAGCTGTAAAAAAGGGTATCTGCTGACCAGTGTCACCTGACTGTATCACAAGGTCAAGTGTATGACTTATTAAGGTGAGATGTTTTTTTAAAGTTATCCGCTGACCAGTTGTTGGTTTTAATTGATCGCAGGCTCAGGTCAATAATGAAAAGACCATATAATAAATAACTTATTAACCTTGTCTGTTTGGCCATTAATGGGAAATCTCAGACTTCAGCCTTGCTGTATTGATCTCGCTATTGCCAAGTCAATACATCAAGGCCTCAGTCTGAGATTTCTCTGTAATGACCTTACACTCGGTTAATAAGTAGCATGTAATGAAAACCATGAAAATTTTATTAGCATGTGAAAATTTTATATAATATCTGCAACGTATTTTATTGACATATAAAAGAATCACACTTGAAATTAATAACTGCCTAGCACTCTGTCTTCATTGTATAAACATCTTCTTTTCCTCATCAGGTTTAATTTTAGTGGGTGTTTTGTCATACAGTTTTAGACAATGTGAATGTACTCTCTTTGTTCTAACATCTTCAAATTAATGGTTAGACATGCTAGACTTCTCAGATAAGGACAAAAAATGGCAGCCCCTGACTCAGAGCTCTCTGGCTGTTTTTATCCCTGTGAGACACAATGTGGGACTTAAAAAAACCTAGAACACTGCTCTTTGTAAAGAGTAGGAGACTAACAGATGGGATGTTCCATTTGCACACTCCTCCTAATGATGGCAGATTTTTAGGGGTTTAGGTTTCTTCCTTCATGGAAACCAACAAAATTTGGACGGAGGTTAATTCACTGGTGCTGACGAAAAATAAACCCTTCTGATTTCATTTTTTAAAGGATACCAACACAAATTTAAGGGGTTTGAATACCAGCTCTCTTGGAATGGGAGTACAGATAAAAAATGGATCCCCTAGTGTGGTCAAACTTGAAAACATAGGCTTAAGTCTCGAAACTGTGGTGGTTAGCGAAATATAAAGCTTTTGTTCTATTGACTGCGACGAGTGGATTGGCCACTGAAGGGAAGTTGAGAAGCTGATGCTGGAATTGATTTGTTGTGATGAAGGGTTAGTGCCGGAAACTTCAGCTTCTGTGTGTGTATATGTGTGTGTGTGTTTGCTGGAAATTGTCCACATCAGCTTTCAAGCTGTCTTCTATATAATTTTTTATATAACATGCTCTAGGAAATAAAAACATGATGATGGTGATGAAGCAGTGAAAATCACCCAATCATTTAACAAGGAAACAAGCTGTTTTGCCTTAAGTGTCAGCTACTTTACTAAATGAACATAAGATCCTTCAGGTTAATAAAGAAAATCCCTACATTCTGATTTTTCCTTGGTTGATTTGGGCATACTTCTCTTCATCTAAAACTTGATATTGCCCTTCTTTCAAATCATAATACAACAGTTTATCCTGTACTTTCCCAACATCAAAACCTTCTTCCTTCAATTTGTTTTTCTGCAACTTAAATGTTCCTGTAACACTAACACTGTCAACAATCCTCAAGAAACGAGGATGAGCGTAATGCGGCAATTGCTCATTCAGACCTTGGACAAGTCTGCTCAGATCAATGTCACTTTCTGAATCAACAATAGTTGCCATTCCTGCCCTTCCTTCAGTACCTGGAACTTGAACTCCATACACAACAACATCGCGCAGACCAAGTATCTTGCTCATTGTTGTCTCCACTTCAGTAGCGGACACATTCTCACCTCTCCAGCGGAATGTATCGCCAGTGCGGTCGTGGAAGTAAACATAACCATATTCGTCTTTGACAAGAAGGTCACCAAAGAAAAAATATGCATCACCTTTATGAAAAATATCACAGAAGACTTTCTTTGACATTTCATTTGTGTTTGCATATTCTCTTAATGGGGTGTCTGAAACAACAAAGATAAGAATCAAGTTACATATTTCATTCACATTTTTGCAAATTTCTTCTCAGCTATAATGAATTTTTCAACAGCCCAAACTACAATCAGTTTTCAATCTTGAACCCCATTGGAGTTTAATCATGGGAATTTTGTAAGGGGCCTAGATGGAGTTTATTTGTTTAGTGATTTTAGTCATATGTTGTTACTGTTACATGTAAATGCTGTTAACTATCATAGGTATATGGAATTAATGTTTCAAAAACTATTAATATTTCAAATGCTGTTAACTATCATGAGTATATGGAATTAATATTTCAAAAATTATTTCAAAATTATTATTTCATTTCTGATTGGCATTAATCCACAGGCTAATTCTTCATAACTAGCACCATAGCTAAGAACATTTGGTAGTCACATGGCCATATGTCTGTTAGTACATCTGTTTGTCTGCACCAGAAGGCGACCAATGTGAAATCTCACACTTTCTATCTAGTGTGGGAGCCTGCAACCTGATATTGCACATCCATGTTGTGGTAAACTGACAGCTATGAAAGCAGGTTATCTGTTGACCAGTATCACATGACTGTATTGCGCGCTCAGGTGTTGACCCATTAAGGTTGCGTGTTTTATTAACACATTCGCTGACGAGTTACACGTTTTCAACTGATTGCAGGCTCAACTCCGAGTGGATTAATTTCTTTGCAATATTTATACAAGTTTATTGTTTGAAGTAAATTATAAATTTATTAATGGGAGTTTCGCCTTTAGCCTAGGCTAAATCTATTTAGTAAAATCAGAAACTCATAAGGGGTTGTTCAACCGTTATGAGTTTCTGGTAAAATCAAACCAGTGGTCTGTTACCAATGCTGCATTCTGATTGGTTGAGCTACTACTAGGGCATATGTTATAGCCCACTGGTAGCGAAAAGAGCCAGCTTTGAAAACCAAAACAATGGTGGCTGAATCACGTTTTGCTAGCTAAAGTTGTTTTGTCTCGATACTTTTGACCAACTAGTTGGATTTTACTAAAACAATTATTCCTCAGCCTTTGTGGCCCCTGAGTCAATAGCCTATCTGGCCTTCGGCCTCATAGGCTGTTGACTCAGAGCCCATTCGGGCTCGAGGAATAATTGTTAAATATTGCCATCATTGATTTAAGTCACTTAGATGTCAATGATTGTATATAATTGCAAGTTAATCCATGATTGTTACCATGCAGTGCAGCAGCTTAGTTGTTTTGGCATGAGCACAGAACTATAGCAAATGAATTATAATAAGAGTTCAAGGCTATGAGGAGAAGACTATCCAAAAATGAACTGAATAAATGCAAGAATTATTCATATTTAAGGAAACGCAATGTTAAAGAAACCGGAAACCCATCGAAGTGAGGTTCATGAACTTGAAAAGCTACCTTTTGAAATCTTTCCAGCAGCCAGGCCAGGTTCTCCGGGACCCGCTGGGATGGCCAGACCATTTTCACCTCTAATTAATTCACCAGATGAGGGATCCACTTTGAGCAGACTTAAAGGAACCAATCCTGGCACAATCACTGACACAAAACCACAAGACCCTGGTGTGTTGTCAGTATTGAACAAACCAACATTTCCTTCCGTGGCACCAAAAAATTCCCCAATGTGCTCAATACTAAAGCGTGACTGAAATTCCTTCCATATCTGAGGCCGCAGTCCATTGCCAAATGCAACACGCACTGTATTCTGCCTCTCTGAAGGACAATAAGGCTGAGCCAAAAGATAGCGACATACCTCACCAATATATTGAATAACCTGAAAGCAAAAGATGTGTGAATAGTTCATAAAGGAGCCAAAATTGTTTTTTTTTTATTTGGCCAAATTACAACTGACTGGCTTCTAATAAAAACCTTCAACCATTTTTCAAATTGGCTGTTCAAAGCCATGTGTCACTCTACTACAAGCAGCAATTTATTGTAAGAAAACACCATGCACGTTGGCTACATACAGAAGCATTACGAAGTCAAGCCTATTTTTCCTTTGATGTATGAACAGGAGATAAAATTAATATTTCATCAATTTCCTTCTCAAGTGTTCCTTAATTTATGCGAACAAGTTTCAACTGACTAAAGTTAAAGGAAAATTTGCTTGTGTGAACATAGCTAAGAGAAAAGATCATAATTTGATAACAGGAAAACCCTTCTAGGCTGCTCTCACAAAGTTGAGAAAGACTGGAAAAACAAAGTTAATTAGATTTTAAAATAAATAACAATCATTCCAATTTAGCAGCAGGAACAACTCACACCCTTGAAAATGAAGATGGAACATTGAAAGAAAATATATCATTGGGAACCATTTGTAACGACAGTTAATCATCAAAAGAAGGAAAATCACAAACTGCTTCACATACTGTTGCCTTGTTTTGTACGCAATCATCCCAGAACTTGCTGGCAGAAAACTTGCGTCTTAGCACTAATGTGTTTCCCTGGACAAGACAGGATCCCACTCCAAGACCTCCACCAGCAGTGTGGTATAGCGGCAATGTACAGTATATGATGTCTTCTGGTGTCACACGGAAAAAAATACCAATGAGGCCCACTGCGATGAAACTTTAAAAACAAACATCAAAATTTAAGTATTTCATGGTGGTAAATTTGCTAGTTGATTTACAGTAACTGGAAGTATCAAATGTTCAATTTAAGCCCTGGTATATCGCTAACCCGTGAAATGATGCCTGAGGAGTGAGTGCAGAAATTCCATACTGATGACATAACATGCACAGTGGTGAAAGTGTCATTCAATCAACCAGAGGCACTACCCAGATATGGGTAGTGATGCATCAACAGTAAGAAATTTCTGTACTTCTTTCCTTAAATATAATTCCACAGGGAGTCAACGGTAGCGTCACAAAATTTCAGCTGTTTTCTCAGGCTGAGGTTAAAGTTCTACATTGTTTTATTTCAAACTCATTATCCCCCGTTGACATACCCAAAAACGAAGGAAAATAAAATTTAAACAGGGAGAAAATTGAACCACAACATAATTATCCCATATTTCTATTTCATAAGAAAAATTTACGTACAAATGTTTGCAAAGGATTCTTTGTGTTGATGCGGTAAAGACACCCACGTATATATTGTGCTTAGAAAAAGTGAGGTTTAGAGAGTACTAAAGTGATGACGTCATAAAAATGAAATTTCTGAAATTATGGGATTTGTCAGGATATTCTGAAAGAACAATGTTCAAGACGCCTACTTGCCAAAAATGAGCATTTCGGCGCAAATTGTCTCTGAGATCGTAGCCCAGTTATGCTTAGAAAACGTCATATAAACCCTTCCATGGAGTTTTCTAAGCAAAAAATGCGAAGGCTAGATTTAGGGAGTTGATTATGGGAGGTGGTTGATTAAAAGAATCAACAAACAGGGAGTCTCTTCTCTCTTCCAAAAGAGGTCCAGACAGGTATACTTTTTGGAAGATCAATTATTGCATGCAATTTCTAATAAAATCGATTCTAAAGTTCGTACAAGTTTTGTTCCACTTTGTCACTGAAAGTTCTTCGTATACTCTGAGCAGTGTAGTACATGATATGAACAAAGTGGGGAAGTGGTTGCTTCAAGAGGTTGTAATACAGTGGGAAATGATAAAACCATCAGGTGAAAAAGTGGTTGTAGTCACTTATGAGGGGTGGTCATTTAGTGGGGGTTGTAGTTACTGTAATGTAAAAGGGTTTCACTTACATGAGATGGTTGCATGCGGAGGATCGACCGTATTCCTAATGTGTATTAAATTCAAGTTTTACTGACACTCTATTTAAGTGCCTGATTTGTGCATTAAAAAATTTGATGTCCCTCAAGTCTCTCCTGTCAACAACACAATGACCAAGATGACGGACACCTTTAGAAAAGAAATTTGCAGCTCTGAGGAATTTTTTACAGTTTTTAAAAGACCCATGCCAAAAGTTCCAGATCTTAACTAGTGGTTTCCTTAACCATTACTATTATATTTCTTACATTGTTTTTTCAGCAGCAAGGGTGGTGGAGGAGCCAGAGGGGGTCGTGTCGTCACTATTATGTAGTGTATATTGCTTACTTTTGATGAGTTATAACAACAGGCTTTGGATATCCAGTTGTTCCTGAAGTGTAGATATACATTAAAGCATCTAACAGGAAATAAAATATTTCAAGCATTAATTTTTGTCACAAAATAATAAAAGGCATATTTATTTTCACAAAATCAACTGAATGAAAACACACAAAATACAGGTAAACTGAAAAAGCTGTGTAGCAGTAAAATAAAATTTAACATGACAGGATATTTAAGATTTGACATGTGTTTTTTAATGTTTATGTACATTAGTGATTCCCCAATTGTGGCAACATAATAAAGGTCTGACTATGTGGAATGAGTCCTACGTGTCCTTTACAATTGTTATGTATTATATGTAGTTCCAGAAATTTTACATACCCCCCACTAAGGGCAACGAAAATTCCGAGGGGAAGGGGGGGGGGGTAAAACAATGCAATTACTGAGCGGGTAGGGGGCTCTAAGACTGGTGAGTTATCAAAAACTAACAGCTGCTCTGTCAAGCAAGCTATCAGTTAATTTACTGTTAACATCTTCTTTTAAAACAAGAATTGTTGTTTTCATTGATGACATTTTATTAAAGTTCAACAGAATAGTTTTTTTTCATGGCTTATACTATAGATAGTTGTCACTGGCTCATTAAATAAACTTCTGGTTATGTAGCTGTAACAGTATTTCACAATATATTGTGGTATTCACCATAATGTTATCCCGTTCTAAGCCTTCTTCTGACATGTTTTTAACTGAAAGGAAGCAATAATTGAAGTCCACTCGGTGTTAAGTTATAGATGGCATCATTTTTGTTGTGTAAGGCATTGACCTTCATGTTTCTCAGTGACTTATTTTTAATTAATAACAAAAAACCTTAACAGGGCAAAATTGAGATTATTAGACACTGCACTAACATGAATGAAAGGATTTTTTCTCTCTTCATCGCAAAAACAATTAACTTTCTCATTATAGAATAGGGCAACAGCATTTTTGACATAATTATTCTTTCCAGGGGGTGCCTAACCAAGTTGGAGAATTACGGAAATTCCAGGGGGTGGGGGGGAGGGTCTGAAAAGTACCCCCTTTCCAGGGAAGTGGGGGGTTTAAAGCAAAAGTGTGGGGCGAATGGATATTTTCTGGAACTACTCATTATCATTTTGTTGATCTTATATAAGAATCAGGTATTTTGCTTGTTACAAAAAACACTTGCCTTTACTTGTAGTTGAGTTTTGGGGATTAACATCAGGTGGTTTTGGTTGAAATGTTTCTAGTTCTTTGATCAAGCTGACTGGTGTGTCATCCAAGGAAGAAACAGCTCCTAAGCAGTAGAACTGCATTTTTTCAGGCATCCGATTGCGAATGTCCTTCACTGCAACTGGACAATATAAGACTGGTTCATTATTATAATCAATTATACCATGCCCATTTGTAGGTTTGAAGACACCGCAATTTTGACTAAATGAGCCTGAACAATGTACTTATTGCTAGTTTTATATCAACTGCAACAAAAATATTATTATAAGGTAAATGTGCAAAAATTTAAGTCAGTTCGATGGTTCTTATCTATTCTGCTGGGAAGCATTATAGCATAAAGTAGTCTTTCTTAGTATTACCAGCGTATGAACATACTAATGTACAACAAAGCTATTGCAGTACTAAGGCATAAAGTATCACCATCCTAGGAATGTACTAACATATGAAGATGCTATTGCAATACAAGAGTGAACTTGAATCCTTAAGCCTAGAATCTTACAATTTTGATAGCATGTTAACTCTCCATACTAACAAAAAAAATTCACCAGAACAGCAAACCTAAAATGGACATAATATGTAATGAATGGTGGCAAAATAATCCACTTGGTGGTTCTTTGTCTACTTTTAACCCTTCTGGCATTAAAATTTAGAAATGTTGATTTTTGAGAAGAGGGGAAAACTGAGTCCAGAAGAAAGCAAGAAAGAAAACAAATAAAAGAAAACTACAAATGAAGTTGGCACTGGGATTTGGCCCTGGATTACGCTGGTGGGAGGTTTGAGTTCTCTAATTGTTTCTTTAATTTGCCACCTTTGTTACCCATATGCCAAATGATTGACGCAATTCAAGGAACTGGAAAAAGAAGCCTGCGAAAAATACTGGCCTTCAACAAAATTTGAACCAAAAACCTCAGCATTTTTTAATCAGTGGGATGACCTGACGAACACAGTTTATGAAACCAATAACTCATTGTTATCACAGGTTCACACAATTTTCCCATGAATGGGAAGGAGCAATTTCCCCATAGCAACCTGCTAAGGTCAGGAAATAATGTGTGTTCATAAAACAAGGCCTGTGTTTGGCAGCTAGGCAATACATATCTACCTTAAATCAGACTGTGTACATGTAGCTATCGTTAGCGTGACATCCCCAAGGGGGGTGTGGTATAAACCCTTCCAAACAAATCCGATATTATGCCCTCAAAATTCCCTGAGAATGGCCTCAATCTCCTTTGATAACTGCTGATACGAGCACAAGTTTAAGATGGTGGTTTCAGTTTATCCTTGGTTTGAACTTAAGAAAACAAAGGATAGGATAAGGATAAGCACTGCATGAGCATTTACTTCAGCAAATTATTACCTGCTAGGTCAGATCCATACAATATTGCCCTGGCATCTGCAGTAGATATACAATGGCACAGTGAATCAAGTCTAAGGTTGGTGTTGATAAGGGCAGTTATTACACCAAGTTTAGATAACCCAAGCCACAAACAAACAAATTCTGGGCATGATTCCAGAAATAGAGCCACTTTGTCTCCTTTTTTGTAGCCTTCTGATTTGAAGTAATTTGCAACTCTGTTGGAATAATCTTCGACGTCTTGAAATGTCCATGTTTTCTGTNTACACCAAGTTTAGATAACCCAAGCCACAAACAAACAAATTCTGGGCATGATTCCAGAAATAGAGCCACTTTGTCTCCTTTTTTGTAGCCTTCTGATTTGAAGTAATTTGCAACTCTGTTGGAATAATCTTCGACGTCTTGAAATGTCCATGTTTTCTGTCCAAAGATGAAGGCAGCCTTTTGAGGATGTCTGGCCACAACTTGTCCAAAAACTTCTGCTATTGTATTCTGATTCTTTAAGAGCTTCTTAATTTTTATGGTAATGCTTGCAGCTAAGAAGATAAACCTATCAAAATAATTGATTTGTTACATCATGAGATAATTAAGTCTCTTTCACAGCCGTTTTAAGCATCATCATGGGGAGGAGCATTGTGTGACAAAATTAATCTAAAAGCCACTGGAAAGAAAACTAAAGATAGTTTGATGGGGATGTTTACTACCAGAATCATTAAACTGTTATAGCAGCCTAAAAAACTATTGTTTGCATTTGAATTTTCAAATAGCTGGCATGACCATTCCAAGCTTTCTGTTTGATTATGTGATTTTCTACAGTTTTAGAAAGGCAATAACAATAGGTCCAACAACTTGCAGTTAAAATGATCATGAACGCTCACAAAATAACTTTTCTGGCAAGGGAAATCAATAATATTGGTTACTATCATTCATGATAATGAGCGGAAGCAGAGATATTTCTACAGAATTCTATCTTGGTAGTTTAACACCATTTGAACTGCAAACCATCATTTTTGCTTTACTAAAATTATGGAAAGTCACATGACCAAACAAGTTGCTTGAAATGTTCATGCAAGCTACGGAAAAATTCAACTGCAAATTATTGCTTTTATGAGGGTGCTTAAATTTCAAAGCATAACTATATTCTTTTTAGCATTGTTTTAAGGTTGGTTTTCACTAGTAACTAAGTCAAAGTTGGAGCCATAAGTGCAGAGCTGTAAGAGCACTTATGACCTTGTGAAAATCAAAAATCAGAGTCGTAAGCAGAGTCATGAGCACAACAGAGTAAGGGTCGGAAGAATCAGAACATTTCCATTTTCTTCGGACTCTGCTTATGACTCCATCGCTTATGATCCAATGAAAACCAGATTGCTGGAGTCGGAAGCAGAAGGATAAACCAATCACAATGCACATTCCCACGCTTTGTGAGTGGTTTAGTTCTTCTGCTTCTGCATATGACCCCTACCTAAATATTTCTGAAATGTCATTTTGTTGCAAGGAAAAAGCCCATGAAGCGTAAGAAAACTAAATCAAGTTTTGCTGCTTGCCTGTCCTGATCGCTGTTTTGATTGGTCATATTAGACACATTCAACATTCCCACAATATTTCAGGTGTTCGGGTTCGTTTGACTGTAGAGCACATTTTAGTTGATGTGCGTTTAGTTTAGAAGGAAATAAATCAAAGGAAAGCCCATAACTATGAAAATGCAACTAAAGGGGGCAATAGAAAAGCACTAACTTGGGTAAGAAGTAAAGGAAATCTGTGTCACCTCTTGCAAGTGCAACGCGGCCATCTTGAACGGAAAGCTGCTGGAGGAGTACTGGAAACAACTACTACGCGAAGAATTTTACATGCAGGAGAAGGCTCTTGAAGCAGTACGTTTGTGCAAAAACTTTGTCAATGTGCTTTTGTTGTGGATTAATTTTATCCCTGGTTTAAATTTCATTGTGTTGTCTTTATGGCTAAATGGGTAAAATTTGAATTTAAAATTTGCTGAAATTGAACAACACACAGGAACTGCGATCGGTTACGCAATGTACATCTGGTACTAATATTCCTTACAGGCCACCTTTCTTTAAAGTACTGGATCAAACTTGCCAAGTTTCACGACTTTGTCGTGAGTCTCACTATTCAGAATCTCACATTTTTTCCTTTTGGGGGTTTGCAAGTTTGCTGGAGCGCTGGATAACAAACAAATTCTGGGCATGATTCCAGAAATAGAGCCACTTTGTCTCCTTTTTTGTAGCCTTCTGATTTGAAGTAATTTGCAACTCTGTTGGAATAATCTTCGACGTCTTGAAATGTCCATGTTTTCTGTTCAAAGATGAAGGCTGCCTTTTGAGGATGTCTGGCCACAACTTGTCCAAAAACTTCTGCTATTGTATTCTGATTCTTTAAGAGCTTCTTAATTCTTATGGTAATGCTTACAGCTAAGGAGATAAACCTATCCAAATAATTGATTTGTTAGATCATAAGATAATTAAGTCTCTTTCACAGCCGTTTTTAGCGTCGTCATAGGGAGGAGCATTGTGTGACAACCCTAAAAGCGGCTGGAAAGGAAACTAAAGATAGTTTGATAAGGATGTTTACTACCAGAATCATTAAACTGTTATAGCAGCCTAAAAAACTATTGTTTGCATTTGAATTTTCAAATAGCTGGAATGACCATTCCACGCTTCCTGTTTGATGATGTGATTTTCTATAGTTGTAGAAAGGCGATAACAATAGTTCCAACAGCTTGCAGTTAAAATGATCATGACACTCACAAAATAACTTTTCCGGCAAGGGAAATCAATAATATTGGTCACTATCATTCATGATAATGGGCGGAAGCAGAGATATTTCTACAGAATTCTTTCCTGGTAGTTTAACACCATTTGAACTGCAAACCATCTTTTTTAATTTACTAAAATTATGGAAAGTCACATGACCAAACGAGTTGCTCGAAATGGTCATGCAAGCTACCAAAAAATTCAACAACAAATTATTGCTTTTATGAGGGTGCTTCAATTTTAAAGTATAACTATATTCTTTTTAGCATTGTTTCAAGGTTGGTTTTCACTAGTAACAAAGTCGCAGTCATAAGTGCAGAGCTGTAAGAGCACTTATGACCTTGTGAAAATCAAAAATCAGAGTCGTAAGCAGAGTCATGAGCATAACAGAGTAAGAGTCGGAAGAATCAGAACATTTCCATTTTCTTTGGACTCTGCTTATGACTCCATCGTTTATGCATCAGTCAATTCCAGCTGCGCCCAGCAACCCCCCGGGCTACTGCGGGGCATTTGCCCACCTTGTCAGTCCCGGGGGTGGGGCATTTGCAAATTTTGTGCTGCCCGGGGGCATTCCTGAGCTTTTGACACGCACGTGGTTTCCTTGAATTTTACTGGGAAAGAAAGCAGATTGGCTCATCTGTCAAGGACAGGAAAAATTGAAGAGGTTTGTAAAGGCATGTTCTTGATTTTATGCATGCATTTCTTCATTGCTTATCGAGCCAGAATTACATAGCGAAATTGGGAGCTATCGACGTGAATCAACGTTTTTTTGGTTATTGAATGAAATTTCTGTTGAGATTATTTGAAAAACATCCTTTCATATTTATAAAACGATTCATAACATATAACATGACAGTGCTCTATTAGTTTAATGTCAATAATTTTACATCAATACCAAAATTATAAACTGGTGCATGTCGTTGCGGCGTGAAGTCTTAAGTAGAATCATAGCACTATTACAAAGGAAGACATTAATTGAAACAAAAAATTTACATTAAAATGCTTAAAACGGCACTATTTGACTATGCAATCAATGAAAAATGTTGCAGTGTTTACAGAGGAAGGGGCATTTGCCCTCTTTTTTCGTCCCCATCCCGGGAGATTTGACAGCTCAAGAGTCCCCACCCCCGGGAATTCGCCATCCAAGGCAAAAAAATGCTAATGCGCGGGGGTCAGCCCAGGGGGGCACTGGGTGCAGCTGGAATTGACTGATGCATTATGATTCAATGAAAACCAGATTGCTGGAGTCGGAAGCAGAAGCAGAAGGATAAACCAATCACAATGCACATTCCCATGCTTTGTGAGTGGTTTAGCTCTTCTGCTTCTGCATATGACCCCCATAACCTAGTTTTCACTTGAGACCTGTGAACACCTAAATATTTCTGAAATATCATTTTGTTGCAAGGAAAAAAGCCCATGAAACGTAAGAATACCAAATCAAAGCAATTGGTTTGAGTTTTGTTGCTTGCCTGTCCTGATCTCTGTTTTGATTGGTCATATTAAACACATTCAACATTCCCACAATATTTCAGGTGTTCACGGTCTTTTGAGTTTCAGTTTGACTGTAGAGCACATTTTAGTTGATGTGCGTTTAGTTTAGAGGGAAATAAATACAAGGAAAGCCCATAACTATTAAATTGCAACTAAAGGGGGCAATAGAAAAGCACTAACTTGGGTAAGAAGTAAAGGAAATCTGTGTCACCTCTTACAAGTGCAACGCGGCCATCTTGAACGCAAAGCTGCTGGAGGAGTACTGGAAACAACTACTACGCGAAGAATTTTACATGCAGGAGAAGGCTCTTGAAGAAGTACGTTTGTGCAAAAACTCTGTTGTGGATTAATTTTATCCCGGGTTTAAATTTCATTGTGTTGTTTTTATGGCTAAATGAGTAAAATTTGACTTTAAAATTTGCTGATAAAATTGAACAACACAGCGGAACTGCGATCGGTCACGCAATGTACATCTGGTTCTAATACTCCTTACAGGCCACCTTTCTTTAAAGTACTGGATCAAACTTGCCAAGTTTCACGACTTTGTCGTGAGTCTCACTATTCAGAATCTCACATTTTTTCCTTTTGGGGGTTTGCAAGTTTGCTGGAGCGCTGGACCATTTCAAATTTGCACGCTGCAAAGGTCAATTTGCCCGGCAGGCGCTTTGCTCCTTCAGTGCCGGGTCAGTATATATTAAAGCCTCGTATTCTACGACACTCTTTGCGGCCTGTGTAAAAATATTTGGGTAAGATTTCCATATGACCCCATGAATCTATTATGCATGGAACAATTTCATTTTTTTCTCACAGACAGTTGATATGAATAGAGTCAAAACACGTATGCATAATAAATGTATGTGATTACAGCGAAATCTTACCCATTTTTGGACTATCTGATTAAGCTCTACATGGCTAAGAAAGCCATAAAAGATCTCAGCGTCTACAAATTATGACTTTCCATGAAGCAAATGAAGAGGATGTTCATTACACTTTTAAAGTCTTACCGTACAAATCAATGTGGGGTACATACCTTAAATCACGAAAAAATGTTCGAAAGAAGATCCTGGGAAAGGACTTTCCTCCTGAAGCCAAAAACGCCCCAAACAAAAGAACTGGTACCAGCAATAAAGGAAGCTTGGTGAAGTAAGCAAGAAACGATATACCAGCTACCACTACTGCCCAAGTGAACGCCATTGCTTTCAGTCGAACTTGCTGTCACGCCAAACTGGTCAAGCAGGCGTGCCGCACCTAGGAAAAAGAGCNATTGAACAACACAGCGGAACTGCGATCGGTCACGCAATGTACATCTGGTTCTAATACTCCTTACAGGCCACCTTTCTTTAAAGTACTGGATCAAACTTGCCAAGTTTCACGACTTTGTCGTGAGTCTCACTATTCAGAATCTCACATTTTTTCCTTTTGGGGGTTTGCAAGTTTGCTGGAGCGCTGGACCATTTCAAATTTGCACGCTGCAAAGGTCAATTTGCCCGGCAGGCGCTTTGCTCCTTCAGTGCCGGGTCAGTATATATTAAAGCCTCGTATTCTACGACACTCTTTGCGGCCTGTGTAAAAATATTTGGGTAAGATTTCCATATGACCCCATGAATCTATTATGCATGGAACAATTTCATTTTTTTCTCACAGACAGTTGATATGAATAGAGTCAAAACACGTATGCATAATAAATGTATGTGATTACAGCGAAATCTTACCCATTTTTGGACTATCTGATTAAGCTCTACATGGCTAAGAAAGCCATAAAAGATCTCAGCGTCTACAAATTATGACTTTCCATGAAGCAAATGAAGAGGATGTTCATTACACTTTTAAAGTCTTACCGTACAAATCAATGTGGGGTACATACCTTAAATCACGAAAAAATGTTCGAAAGAAGATCCTGGGAAAGGACTTTCCTCCTGAAGCCAAAAACGCCCCAAACAAAAGAACTGGTACCAGCAATAAAGGAAGCTTGGTGAAGTAAGCAAGAAACGATATACCAGCTACCACTACTGCCCAAGTGAACGCCATTGCTTTCAGTCGAACTTGCTGTCACGCCAAACTGGTCAAGCAGGCGTGCCGCACCTAGGAAAAAGAGCGATCATGCATGGAAACTATTCGGCAAAGTATTCCAAACACTTTTCCTCGGTGACTTGTCACGCCTAGTATAGAACCAATTATACATGAACAGTTTAAAACAATCTTCTATTGTTTCCCCGGTCTGCTCTTTTTTAGTGATTCTGGTATTTCTACACACGCAGACATCTTTGTTTGTTTTTTTTTTTCACGGAGAGCTGCAGAATACCCGGCACTTCAGACCACTTTATTTACATGTGTCGGAGGAGACCTGACCTAACACAATATAGCTTGTCTTATTCAACAAGATGTAAATAATGTTGTCCCGTCAGTTTTGCAGTTTAACATCAAAGAAAAACTCGCTAGTGAAGGAGAAAAAACGTGCTTGAGGACAGAAATATATATCGGCATATGCCGCCTGTAATTCCAATAAGGTCCGAGTGGACATATATATCTAAAACGAAGCTACTGAATATTTAACATTTGACTTTAGGAAAGCCAAACGGATGTGCGTTTTTGGGGTCCACCAGCCCGAAAAATATCTCATTTCCGACTTTTGAAAGGAAGGGGAACGAGGAGAAGCTCGGGAAGAGGTTCGAAGAAGAGAAAAAAACTCGTCAAACTAGTGCGGATTTACCTCCACTGACCTTGATATCTATTAAAATCTATGTTTAAACTATACCGAACAGCTTTTCGTGACGACACGAGAGCTATCCGGCCGGCATAGTAATACTTAACAATAGATTTAGCAAGGGCTAAAAGCTGAGCTTTCGATTTTTTTTTATAATAACCTATAATTTACTGGAACTAAACGGCGACGGCAACGAGAACGGAAGAAAATAGGTCTAATTAGCAAAAAACAACAACTATGCACCTGCAGCGCACTTTTTTTTCCTCTTTTTATTGCCGTTGTTGTTGTAACTTGAAACTAACTAGTTACACGTTTTATGGAAAAATGTCGTTGTGCTCACAAAAAGTTTTGTTGTTTGTGTTCCTGTTCCTTTTTTTTTTTTTCTATTGCTGCTCATTTCCGCCTCCCTGCCTGCTAGCATTTCTCATTTTCTCACCTCCGGTATAAACTTTTCATGCTGTTCTTCTAGGGAAATTCGTCTCCTTTGTTTTTTGTCTCTCGCTCTAGCTCTCTGGCGCTCATTTTCTCGTTGAGCTCCGCTAGCCTGTCGCCTTCTTTCTCGTTTTTTCTGTCTTTCTCTTTCTCTATATTCCAAATTCAATTTGTGGACATGACAATTAATCTAAGCTTAAAATACTTTAGACAACAAGGATATAGAAACAATTTCCGCTTTTCATTTTGTCTTTGTCTTTGCTTCACAAGACGCGGTTGGCCTTGCAATTTCCCGCCCAAAAAATCTCGAGTTACATTTGGGTTGCCAAACCTGTTGATTGAGTTATTTTATATGGGCATGCCTGTGGTGCGGACGTTTGGGCAGGCGGCTGGCGGGCGATTACGCAAGGCGGATAAAGGTTAAAGGGTTACCCCTGGTCTGACGTACGGTGACGTGACTTCAAGTCACTACCACAATTTCTCGGATGCATAAATAGCCAATCTTTCTTACCTCATGAGCTCATCCGATATGTGATTCTCCACGTTAGAATTCGGCGCGGCGCGGCGCAACTTCCCTCCGTTGCAGAAATGGCGCCGAAAATTCACCGTTTTTCAAGTGTGAACTGAATCCGTATCCGATATGCTTTTCGTGCCGTCACAGAACCTATTCGGTATAATGTGATCAAAGCCTAACATGTTGCTTCAAGTAGTTCGTCAACTTATTTCTGACTTATTCCTTGGATATTATCCATGCTTATTCCATCCCAATTGCTTCACCAGACTCACCTTTACAGTCGTTGTTATCAATATGACTGGTTAATGTTTTTATATATTTGGATTTTTTTGTGCTTTAAATACGTTACAATGGAAGTACTGGTGTCACTCCATGTTACCCCAACAAAAAAAAAATTAATCTTCCACTCCAGCCCCCACCGTCTAGTAAATGTTTTTACTCCCGCTTCCCTTATCTTTTTATCAGTTTTTCTTGCATTGATCATGCCTCCCTATCTGGTTTTTCAGCCGCTCCCTCCAATTATCGGAAAGTTAGTCCTTTGATATGTAAATATTGTAGCTACGGAAGTTCAGTATATCTACTAACACGTTCAGGTAATTTTTTTGCTTTCTTAGTTTGTGGTAGATAACTGCAGCGGTCTTTTTACAGGATAAATCCTTCCGCGGTTCAATTGCAAATAATCACTACCTCAGAAGTAGTGAATGTTATGTAGTTGCCATAACGCAACCCACCAAAGGTTCCCCATTCTAGGCTAACGCGGCCGGCTAACGCCAAAATCATATACGTTACTGCCATAACATATGACTTATGCCATTATAATTCTCTTACCAGTGTGTAAGTTAAATGGTGGGTAAGTATGCTTTTGCCGTCGCCCCACATGTATATTCTTTTTCTACTAATAACGAGCGTCTTTCAGTTTTACTAACGAGAAGAAAAAATCAGGCTATAAGTTCATTTGAGAGACAAAGATAAATTGAACAGGTAACGTTCACCAATGTAGTATTTACCTTTTTCAGTCAATTTTCTTCAGAATATCACTAGATCGCTTCTTTCCTTGAAAAGTAAAACAAACACTGACATTCCAATTTAAAATATGCCTGCAATAGCTGTCTCTGACACAGCTGTCAATCTTTTTCATTTGTGGACAGTAAACCATGCATTTGCCTGCCAAGACAATCAATATATTATGTTAAAAATTGTAATATATTATCAATGGGACGAAGGCCTGAATAGTGCCTGTAATTTTTATAGGGACCTTAAGATCTAGCCTGCGTGGTAGGTGCAAAAAAAGGGGATGGGGACTGGAGGAGAAAATCCCACAATCTTCTTTCCCTTTTTCCTCCTTTCCCCTCCCTTCGACGCCTGCTACAGGCTATTAACATCCGATGACAGCAACGGCAGCGAAAGTGAATTCGGATTCTTTCAATTTTGATCGCTATTATTTCCGTTGACTACCTGAGAATCATATCCAAGTTCAGAAAGGGAAAGACAATATTGTCCATAAAACGTGAGATCAGGCATTTTCACGTCGTCGTCGTGCAAAAAAAAAAAATGGAAAGTAGTTGTTTTGCGTCAGGGGTATTAGACGTCCTAGGGTTACGTAGTAGAATAATGGCCTATTTTGCCATTGTAGGTGAAAACGAGGCTTGAGTTTACCTTTTTTGATACAGCCCTTCCAGCTTATTTTCTTCATGGTGTTCTTATGTTAAAAAAGGAAAGGAGGTTTGTATCAAAACAAGGTCAAGCTCAGCGAGAATTTTAACAATAGTTTATTAAAGTTAGTGTCTTTCTTTCGCACCATACTGAATGTATTTGTTTATCCTATAATAATCTTACGTTAAATCTGATTCCAGGAAAAAGAAACTATATTACAACAGTGAAATGATTTTCCTTCGTTTGAGGGCATAGCAAGTATGCGTTATTTTCTTTTTATCTTTTGTCAAGAATTCGTTCTTACACTTTCTAATTACGAACTACTGTTCGATCGTTTACACAGTATACAAGGAGGGCATCTGTACTGGAATATTTATTTCAGGTTTCAGGTCTACTCGCGCCTATGAGGCGCTACCCAAACAGTATTTTCTCTAGTTGTCTTTTGTCGCTGCTTCTCTTGTGTCGTCCGAACAAGAAGGAAAATATTTTTCACTCGAACGAATTAGGTGAGGGAGAATGAAACGCTAAATTCTGATTTTACCCTGGTTGATTTTACCAAACGTGTCCTCGTGTAACGAGAGATATTGCCCTTCTTTCACGTCATAATACAGTAGTTTATCCTGTATTTTTCTAACATCAAATCCTTCTTCTCTCAACTTGTTTTTCTGGAACTTGAATGTTCCTGTAGTGGCAACACTGTCAACAATCCTCAAGAAACGAGGATGAGCGTAATGTGGCAATTGCTCATTTAGACCTTGGACAAGTCTACTCAGATCAATCTTGCTTTCTGAATCAACAACTGCAGCCATTCCTGCCTTTCCTTCAGTACCTGGAACTCGAACTCCATACACAACAACATCCCGGAGACCAAGTATCTTGCTCATTGTTGCCTCCACTTCAGCAGTGGACACATTTTCACCTCTCCAGCGGAACGTATCTCCAATGCGATCATAGAAGTACACATAGCCATACTCATCTTTGACGAGCAGATCGCCACTAAGAAAATAGGAGTTTCCTTTCTCTAGAATGTCATGGCCAATCTTTTTGGATGTTTCCTCCTGGTTAACATATCCATGAAAGGGGAGAACTATTGAGAATCGAATTGGGAAAACGTTAAGAGTGTTAGGCGGTATCATGTTATGTAGACACCATGTGAATCCTTTTCCAGTCCTAATAAACTCCTAGCCCAAATCAAGGCAGCCAGAGAAAATAGTCGACATTTTACGTCGCTGGTTTCCCTGTGAAATGACGTCTGAGGAACGAGCTCAGAAACTCCATACTGATGACGTGTCACTTCCCAAATCTGGAGAGTGCTTTTGATTGGATGATATTTGCTTCATCCAATCAAAAGCACTTAGGTCTGGGTAGTGACAAGTCATCAGTATGGAATTTCTGAGCTCCTTCTTCGGAAGTCATTTAGCGGGGAAATCAGCAGTGGCGTCGCTAAGAGTGGCAGGCTGTTTCGTCAGGCTGCAGTCATGGCAGTCACAGCACTGTTATTCTCGAAATGTTGAAGCTCGAGTAAGCGTATATATTTGTTAGTGGAGATAAGCTATCCAATGGCAGTAAAGGAATGTCTACCTTCGAATAACAATGTCACACTGCGTAATTTAAAAGATTTTTGGATGGGCCCAGAGAAAGAAATGCTCCAGAAGCAAGTAAAAAGTTAACGTCGTTCCCAACTTTGACAGCTTTGAAAGAAATAATTTTTGCACAACACAATGCTTTTCCATGAAACCGTTGTTTCGTGATATTGAGTACGATTCGCTAAACGAACAGATTACTGGTACCTTTTACAATCTTTCCAACAGCAAGCCCGGGTTCTCCAGGACCTGCTAGGACGGCCAAATCATTTTCACCCCTGAGTAAATCTCCAGTTGCAGTGTCAACTTTGATGAACTTTGTAGTCATCAATGCTGGTGCGATAACAGAAACAAATCCACAAGCCCCTGGTGTGTTGTCAATATTGAGAAAACCAATATTTCCCTCCGTTGAACCATAGTTTTCTCCGATCTGTTTGATCCCAAAGCGTGACTGGAACTCTTTCCATAGCTGAGGACGGAGTCCGTTCCCGACGGCAAGTCGCACCGAATGCTGCCTCTCGGAAGGACGATAAGGTTGGGCCAAAAGATAACGACAAATTTCACCAATGTATTGAACTACCTGTCAAGGTGAGAACAAGAAACGTTCAATTTCTGGCAGTGTAAACTTCTGGTGTGTGCCTACATGCGGCAATTAAATTTGAGACCAACCCAAGTTGTGTTGGCCTTACTACGTCAATGCGGTTAGAGTGTTCTAAATCTAAATCTGAATTTGAAAGAAAAACAAGACTTGCTAGGTTAATAGCAAACGTGTCCTCCTACATATTAGTCTGCTGCACAGCCGTTCTTTGCGTGAAGACACAAAGAACGGCTGTGAAGCAGACTACCTATATACGGGTAACACTAGGCTTTGAGAGAAATGAGGAAAACGTAAACTAAACGAGCACAATATCAGTAATAAAGAGCCCATCATTTCTTCCTTTTTGCGGGGAGACTGGTACAAGCTTTCCAGATGAAAAACGCAGCGCTTTGAGGAACTTAAGCTGGACGTGGTAGACAAGGCATGGTGCCTGGAGTTTTGAGACGCTCTGGACATTTCTAAAAGACCCGCTAACATTTAACATTTTCACTTTTTTACTAAGTTATGGCTGATATTTACAAATTTAAAATAGACGTATAAAGCTAAGTTTGAAAGAAGAACATCGTTAACAGATTTGACATGCACCTACAGTTGCTTTTGTTTCCACACAGTCATCCCAAAATCTACTGGCAGAGAACTTTCGCCTCAGTGCCACAGTGTTTCCTCTCGTAAGGCAACATCCCACAGTCATCATCACTCCAACACCGTGGTACAATGGCAAAGTGCAATAAATGACGTCTTCGGGGGCCACGCAGTACATAGCGTAAACGCAGGAAAAAGAGAAAAATCTAAGAGACGAAAAACAACAGTTGAATACCAAAGTGGAAGCTGCAGAATGCAGAAACGGGGTCAGACTTCAAACTAGATATCAAGTTAGTTACTTTGCCCCTATTAAAGTGCCAGGCGAAATGGTAGCTTAAGATGGCCCCAAGATAGCAATAACGAAACACCATCACAATTTTGTTTTCAAATATAAAGGTAATGGTTTCAAGACGAGTGATAAACACCCTGGCCTGCCAAATTCTTTTGCCCGCGGTAGCGGGTGAGTAACTGCCATAGTTAGTAATTATGATGAAGATAAACAGTTCCCTTAAACAAATTATTGTCCATGTCAGTCAGTTTATCGACTTCAATCAGGTGAAAGGTCTGTGATCTCTCAAACATTGCTTACCTCTTGTTAGTTATAACTGCTGGCTTTGGATGCCCAGTCGTTCCTGATGTGTAGATATACATCAGTACGTCTACAACAAAAAATCACAGTATTCCACCTTTCTTAATAAATATATACCTCTTGATATTTTCCTTTACATCCAGAAATACAAGCTTATAGGAACTTACAAAATTTATGGTATTGATGCAGGACAAAAAATGAGCGCTGAACCCATGTACCAGTGATAAATGCATTGAAAAATAGAAAATCAGACAAGATCCAGGAAAGATAACTATTGTACCAACTGAACATTTGGGAAACCCAACTGCGAAACACCAGTTTGTTTACAAAAAAAAAACAACTATTGACAGGAATAAATTTCTAAAAAATCATCCTATGCCCTGCCTCTGTGGATGACCTGTATATGTTGCAGCCTTCGTCTTTGGCCTTTGGCATATGCACAACGCAAAATATAACAAACTTCCAGGTCCAGGATCGATTCTACCTTCCAAATAAGCACATCTTGGAATTACAGGTTTTGGTGAGAATCTGATTAATTTAAGCAGTCATGTCTGGGTTCTGGAAATCCAAATTGTGGCAGTATTCAGCATTGTCAGGGAACTACTGTAGAATTCCAGGCTACTTGCAATCCCTGTTGGATTCCACTGGAATTTCTCAGGGATTCTGCATGTGTTGTCCGAGAGTTAAGCTTCAAAATTTTACACATGTGTATACACACTATAAACCTACCATTAAACGACTTTGTGTGATCAGTGTCTGGTGGTTTCAGAGAACTTCTTTTCAATTCCTTCATCAAGCTTAAAGCTGTGGTCACTGAGCAAGGTGCAGGTCCAAAGTAATACATGTGTGTAGTTTTTGGCACCCGGTCATGAATGTCATTCACTGCACCTACATGTTACAGATTGTCAAGAGTGAATTGTGTTACAGTAGTAAAAACAATAACAAAACTTACATCCCTTTATTATGAGGGCTTAAGTAAAGCATATTATGTTTTACACTAGTTTTAATGAAATAGACGTATCTGTCTATGTAGTTACGAGTTATTATTTAATATGCCAATTCCGGGGAAGAATTGCTGAGGTGCAAAATATCAAAAGGAGGGTCTTTTTATGATAAAGGAAGGATGAAGTACCTTCTTGCTTATGATGACCTACACCCGGGAGCGAGCGTGGGAATGTTTCCTCTTGTGTAGTTGCAGGATATGCCCTGCAGTAAATTTAACATCAACGGAACTGCAAAATTGCTCACGTTTGAACTGCGTGACTGCTGCATGCGGGGGACTTATACAGCCAAAGTGATCGGTAGATGATAACAGCAACGAAACTCCATCTCTTCTTCTCCTGCATCCCAAGAAGGCCTTTAAAAATTATTAAGTAAAAAGGTGGGTAGCTGGGACGTACAGTACCTGAAAAGTCAGTTCCAAAGATAATAGCTTTGACCTCTACAGCAGATACACAATGCCACAGCGAATCACGTTTGAGGTTGGTGTTGATGAGTGCGGTGATCACACCAAGTTTGGATAACCCTAGCCATATACAAACAAATTCAGGGCACGATTCCAGAAGTAAAGCCACTTTGTCTCCCTTCTTATACCCTTGTGATTTGAAGTAATTTGCAATTCTGTTGGCAAAATCTTCCACTTCTTGGAATTTCCATGTTTTCTGTTCAAAGAAGAAGGTTGTCTTTTGAGGATGCTTGGACACTGTTTGGCGAAAAATATCTGCTATTGTGTCATTGTTCCTTTGATGTTTTAATAAACTCATGACCAAGGGGGTAGCCAGGTAAACTGCCCTTCACGAAGGAAAAAGAAATTTAATATTAGATAAATAATTTGATTATCAAGGACCGCTTCAAAATATTTCCATTACGTGGACACAAACCTTGGAAAGTCCCTCGCGTTTCTTCCCATGGTTTTAGTTAAACAAACTTGTATTTTGCGAACAACTGTACTACGTTTGTACTAGAGTGGTTCCCGTGGGTGACTGCTTAATATAGGTTTCTTTCTAACATGAGATTGTGTGTACCTACGAGTCAAGTATGTATTAATAATTATTTAGTCACCCTTGAAAACAATGGCTAACTGAGCGCTCAAAACAAGGGTGAGACCCACCGACAAAGGTGAGCATGAGGAAAGGTGTGTGAGCGGTTGGTGAAGCCAAGAACTGCCGAGACGTAACCACGGTAAAACCCCAACCAGGCACTGTCACACTGCTAACCGGTGGAAATTGAACACACTTACCAAAGGGAGGGTTAGGTAGGGTGCAGAACACTCCATCGGCATTAAAAGCGTAAAGTAGTGTGATGGCCTGACTTCAATAGGGAAGCTATAAACACCCTGGTACCCTCCTGGTGCAGCCCTGGTCATAAGAAAGACTTCCTGGCCAGAAATGTCCCAAGTTTAACTCAGGCAAATTTTCATTAAACGCCCGCGAATACATGCCCATTAGTCTAAAAGTAAATTAATGAAGACGGCGACAAATATGGTATACACCAATAGATGGAATAACAGTAAAGGGTTTTCTATCTCCCTTTGTGACAAAAGAAGAGAAATAAAAACCATGCATTGCAGGACACACATAAATGTACTTCGTGGTATGATACCTCTAGACAACGTAACATTGAAAACAGAGGTAAATGGAAATAAAGGATTTGTGGTGCTACGTCGGTGGGGGTGAGTTACATGCAAATTTGGATTAATGATCTGCGTTGATAACAAGGTAGATTGGCCATCGTTGGGGGATAAGAAGATGACGCTTTCAGCGATAGTCCTTTATTAGTGTCAATCCAGTAACACGCTAAGCTAAACTCTAATTTCGCCATATTTAGCATTCGGCTTGACAGTAGCAACACTCGCTATCATTGCGCTAAAAAAATCTTTTGAACCGGTTCTATATTGCACCTGCCCCGAAGCCTCCTTTCCATCATTGGATGAAAAAGTTTCCCTGCAGGTGGAGCTTTAACTTCTAGAACAAGTCAAGTAGCTAAAATTAGAGGAAAAAGCCTCACCAAAGGGGTCTCGAATCACAAAATCAAAGCTCCAGATTTCAAACAGGCAGCGCACTGACAGCCATGTTTTGAATCCCGATGGACCGCTTACTGGATGTGTGGCAGCCCAAGAGTCCTAAATGTTTCCTAACGCGCGGCGGCCCAATTGGCAAAGAGTAAGAGAGTGTTACGAAGTGTAGAATTTGAAGACAAAATTGTAATGACCGAAGGATAGGACAATTACTGACCTGATATTAAGCTACAATGAGGGACAAAAGTGTTGACACACTTCCGTAAAATGGACCCTTTTTGCATAGTGGATATACCTATCCCCTTCCCCTGTCTACCCCAACCCCTTCCCCCAAAAATCAATGTTGAATTTTGGACCCTCAAGTCTTTTTTTACTTCAGACAACCTTGATTCGGGGGGTCGGGGATTTACGGCGTTTAAAGGGAATGAAATAATAAATGAATGAAATGTTTGTTAAAAGCACCCGTTTTAAACAAGTGTGTCAACTACGTTTGTCCCTGATTGTAGCTATTTCTTGAATAGGTCAGTGAGTTCTAGGAAGCAATAGGACATTTCATAGTTTTCTTTATTAGTGAAACCTGCCATTCCCTCAGGATGTGCAGCCTGCCTTCCTACTTTTCTCACCTCTTCGCGCTCTGTTAACCATAAGTTCTCCACACTTCTCCTGCTATCTTGAGACGTATGTCCGCTTTCAGTAATGATATATATTTTTTTACTGGGATGGGACATTAACCCATCGCCCCATCCCCAGCCTGGAGGGCTAGGGTTGTAATTCGTCTGGCCTTTCAACCAAAACCTGCCCAGCACGGCTGAAAATTTAACACTAGGCCACGCCGTGCTCGACATTTGGCTTCGCAGCAGGGACCAACAATCGCTTTCATTACTTTGCTAGCCTCCCCCCTCAACGGGTTTTGTATCCTTCCATTTAACCACAGCGTCGTCTGCATAGATTCAGTTTTTTACAAATAGTTTCTTTTTTGTCGATCGCTGGTACACAATATGCAGCTTTTCTTATTCAACTAGAGGCATATAAGTGGCCGGGTATTTTAAAATGCACAAGGACTGATTTGGTGAAAAATAGAGGAAATCTCTGTCATCTTTAGCATATTCGACCTTCAGTGCAACGCCATCTTGATCTGAACGTTGTTGGAGGANCAACAATCGCTTTTATTACTTTGCTAGCCTCCCCCCTCAACGGGTTTTGTATCCTTCCATTTAACCACAGCGTCGTCTGCATAGATTCAGTTTTTTACAAATAGTTTCTTTTTTGTCGATCGCTGGTACACAATATGCAGCTTTTCTTATTCAACTAGAGGCATATAAGTGGCCGGGTATTTTAAAATGCACAAGGACTGATTTGGTGAAAAATAGAGGAAATCTCTGTCATCTTTAGCATATTCGACCTTCAGTGCAACGCCATCTTGATCTGAACGTTGTTGGAGGAGGCCTGAAAACGAGCGCTACGCCGCAATGCAACAACGGCAGCAACTAAACAAATAACTCACAACAAACAAACAACTTGTGTACTTTGTGCATGAATTTTGTGCGTCCGAAATTGCAATCAATCACACAATCCAATCTGCTATATTTAGGACCGACACGCAAGAGAACAGTATATAACCTGGAAGAGGCGAAATAGCGAAATGTTACTATTCTGACCTGTAGTCTTATAAATAAACAAACACGCTGCAAAGGTCAGCCGCACTAGTACTGTAGTTCCGAAGGTGCTTTAACCTTTAGGGTGCCTTGCTCCTTGCCGGATTAGTAACTTAACTCTTGTATACTATGACTCCCGGCTACGGCCATCCTGCACAGCTATACAAAGTCTAGAAAGCCATAACTGATCTCAATGTTTGCTAAATGCTGCCCTTGTTAAACGAATACAAAAGGCAATGAAAGAGTTTTGATTACACTTGTACCGTACCTTAAATCACGAAAAAATGTTCGAAAGAAAATCCTGGGAAAAGACTTTCCTCCTGAAGCCAAAAACGCCCCAAATAAAAGAACTGGTACCAGAGAAAAAGGAAGCTTGGTGAAGTAAACGAGAAACGAAATACCAGCTACCACTACTGTCCAAGTGTACGCCATCGCTTTCTTCGAACTTGCTGTCACGCAGCTGGTCACGCAAAGCCACGGAACGAACGACTCTTTTCTTTCACTGTGCCACACCTACGAAAGGAGCGATCATGCATGGAAACTATTCAGAAAAGCTTTCGGCACTTGTCACGCTTTGTACACTGTTTTTATAGAACGAATTACACATGAACAGAAACCACCTTTTTGTTGGTCCCTTGGTCCCCTTTTTTCTGTCATTCTCTTTTTTTTAACTGACAGAAGCGGACATCTTTCTAAAAGCTTCTCAAAGCCGCATTTTATGAACGGAGTAATTGCAGAATACCCGGCTACTTTACTTACACGTTTCAGAAGGCTTTGAAAAAACGAGGCTTAACACAATATAGCTTTCCTTCATCAACGAGATGCAAATTAAGTGGCCGGATAATCTGCAGTTTAGCTTTGTGCACACTGAAGATAAATGTGCTGGTGAAAGAGGGAAAACCTGACAAGTTTTAGGTCATTCAAAAATCACACTTCAGAAGGAAAAAGAAGAGAGGAATTACGAGAGCGCTGGGGACGAGAAGTGAAGGGGAAGAAGAACAAAAACTTGGTTTTTATAATGGCTAATCAGTTTTCCTTTGAAGATAATTACATGAAGAGAGCTTAAGATTCGAGGAGGAGGACGACATTTAATTTTAAGTTTTCTCGCCTATCCTCTAAAAATAGACAGCCCGGAAAGCTTCATTGTACTTTTTTTACCACAAAAGTTAGTACGCTTATAAGTTATTACCGTTGATATACCTGCCAACTTTTTCTGAGATATAAGCGTGATATTTTTATCCTGGGAGTGCTGGGATTTTTGAAGACGACACGATCATTTCGGAAGATTCCCGAAGAAGTCCGAAGTCTTCCGAAGACGTCCGAAGTCTGCCGAAGGCTAAGTTATCGAGTCCCAGTCTTAGGACGCGTATAAACGCGAGCTCGCTCCTAGTGCTTTTCACTTCAAAAATCAGAGATCGCGAGGAAGGTCAGTTGTCATTTATTCATTTTACACATGGTTTTCGTTCCTTACATGGGTCTGAGTTAACATATTTTTGGAAATTGTGTCAAGCAAGACGGCAACAACTCACATTTTTCAATCAGGCGTGAGAAATTGGCCCGCAAGCGTGAGCCGGCGTGAGATCGAAGTTTTCAACCCGCAGGCGTGAGACTCACGCCTAAGGCGTGAGAGTTGGCAGGTATACGTTGAGAGAGGTAAAGCCCTCACTTGATCGCTGAATGATAAAATTTCCTACCTTTTGATAACTTTTTTCTCGCCACTACGACAATTTCGCAAAAACTCGTAGTACAATGACGACGGCTACCACATTTTCCCGCCAAAATACTGTTGGTATACTACTTAGTATTGAGAAAATCTCGTTCTCGTTGTCGTCCTCGTCTTACAATCTAAAGCTCTCAACTAAAAGTTTTTTAAAAAACGATTTTAACTTAGAGAAAGGACTGGGCAAGAATATTTTAGCGTAGCCACCTTTCCGAAACGCGCAATTTGCCAACAACTCCCTGGGGCGCTTACGAAAGGGTTTGGTCAATTTTTCGGATGACTGGATTTGCTAAACCTTGGCTGACGAAAACTGCGGCCATTTGACCTAATTGACGCCAAAATGCTGTTTAGGGTGGGTAACCAAGCCCGACTTTGAATGAAACGGAGAGGAATAATTGTGAGAGTGAAAGAAGAAAGAGGAAGTCGTTGCACTCTTAGACTAAAGGACAAAAACTGTTCAGTAGAGCAACTGTATTTGTCCCGGCTGCTCTATATGTATAGCCCACCTTATTACAAGTTATCACTGTTGTGCTGCGATATCAACGATTCCCCAAAAGTGACGATATCATTTCACGGTTCTTAGCTAACCCAGAAAAAAGGAGATCCCTGCGTGCCGTCTCATGTTTTCCTACAAAGATGGTGGGTAGGTACGCGCGCGGGCCTCAAAGCTACAAGAGGAGAGAGCTCCTCTCCTGTCTCGCACCTCCAGGCGCGCGCGTAGCCTGCGTTGCAGGTGTTCGAAAGGGAAGGGAAAGGGGATTTCGGGCGCGCAAGAAGCGCGAGGGGCGCGCCCAAATTTCCTTCCCCTTTCCTTTCGAATGCCTGCCACGAAGGCGTGTGAGCGCGTGGCCATTTTTCACCAGTGCGTTTCGCTCGACGGAAAATCAAAACAAGAGGGACATCTGAGCGGGTCAGGTTACTCGCGAACTAAGAGACAGTGATTAAAAGAAAGTAAAACGGATTGTCGGAGTCGGTACCAGAAACGGAATGGCAAACTATTGATAATGCTAGTTCTCCCGCTTCTGCTTGCGACTGTGACAACCTGCTTTCACTAAATCGGAAAGCTTTTTCCCTCAGATTATAGCACGCTAAGCTTCGAGTCAACTGACGTGTCACGATGTCTGTAAGCGCCCGTGGATCCGAATACTCTAAATGCAATAAATTCGGAAACATTTATGAATCTGGGAAAATCTCCGGGAAAAATCTCCATTAGTGCAAACCTAGCCTTCACGAAAAGAAACAAAAGTTTAGACTTGTACTAATCGCATGTCATTCAACCTGACAAAGGGTTGTTAAGTATGATATGTGGTTTAATGCTGATTGGCCAATGACGTCTTATTTTTATCTGGTGAAGGCGAAAGCGATATATTACAGACATTACATAGTTACATATCGTCAAAACTCCGGTTTTACCTACAGAGGAAATATGCTTAACGTACAATACTTGCCTTTACGTCAGTTATATTATGGATATGCGAAATTTACGTGTTCTGTTGTGTTCTGTAATACCTTAAATCCTCTATTTATTTCAAAAACGTTTGACGGGGGGCTTCATTAATTTGCCGAAATGGGGCACCATACTCCTTTTTCAAATAACCAGAAGATGTATCAGTTCTCTATAAAGAACTAGAACGCAAAGTAAAAATGCTCAAGCACATGACCCTAGAAATCCAAACTTCTAGCATATGAACAAGCTACACCAAGTCAGTCTATCCAGGGAGGAGAGGTGGGGGGCTTAATAACTTTCTTACCCTAAAAAGAGGGATTTATTAGAGAGGGAGCTTGATAGAGGATTTATGGTAAGCCTAACTGATTTTAAGATGATCTGCTCCTATAATGCCAAGCGTACTTATCAAAACAAAATCCGCTACAGTAGTACTAGACTGCTCGCAGATGGGGGTTACGTTTGGGTTTTTTCCCACGGCACGCATTCGCAAAATTCCTCGAAAGATAAAACGTCTGTGGACAGCAAATTGGAGGAGGTCGTTAATATCATATAAAATAGTTCAAGTGAGCTAAAGAGGAGTTTTAGCAACGACGACGCCGACGGCAGCGAGAACGGCAAAAATCATTATTTTAAAAAAAGGCAGGTCGCCGTCACTGCGCGACTACGAAGCGAAATTTTCCTCATGCACCCTTTAATGTAGGAAGTAAACATGACGACGGCGAATTTGCCTTCATTGACAAATTCAGCGAGTTTGAATAAATGCGATAAGGTTCAAGTAATGCACTTTTTGGGTGATGTTTTCTATGCCGTCGCCGTCGTGGTTGCGTAAGATCTCAAGTGTATGAGAGTAAGCTCGTTCAGTTTAAAGGACTAGTCATAAGAGTCGTCAGTATAGTCGATCAGTTGACGATTCATATGTGCCTACAATCACTCAAGAGTCACAGGAAGACAACACGGTCATGGTTACTTTCTCCAGAACAAGGCAAGGTGTTACTTTCATACTTGGTATCCACATCGCGTCAAAGGCGGAGAAAGACAAGAAGGCATAAAATCCCCTCCCCCCACCCCCCACCTGCCAAAAGATTAATGAGGCATAGACAGGTTTCAGCTCCAAATAAATTGGCTTCCTGTGACCTGGGGCGCCTGCACTTCTAACTTTATTTTACATTCTGATTTCGCTTCGAATAATTTGTTCGTATTTGACCTCGTCCAGAACTATATACAATTTTTCTCTGGAATCAAAGTAGTATAACTGGTCTTCCACGAGGCCTATATCAAAGCCTTCACTCTTTAACTTGTTCTTCTGAAGTTTAAATGTACCAGTTATGTCAACGTTATGCACAATCCGAAGAAACATCGGACAGGCGTAACTCGGCAATAATTTCTTCAGACTAGTAGCCAAACCTTCAAGATTAACTTTGTTGTCTGGGTCGACAATGGCCGCCATACCCGCACGCCCCTCACAGCCGGGTACCAAGACACCGTAAACAACAACATCACAAAGACCAAGTACTTTGCTCATTATCGCCTCGACTTCAGCTGTGGACACGTTCTCACCGCGCCAACGGAACGAGTCTCCGGTTCGATCGCGAAAATAGATGTAGCCCAACTCATCCCTCACTACCAAGTCTCCAGAAAGGAAGGCCGTGTCATCCTTACGGAATATATCGTGGGCGACTTTCTTGGAAGTCTCCACGGGGTTCAGGTAGCCTTCGAAACGATTAGAAGGGTCACCTGTGACATAAAAAAAGGGGTCAGTTGGGTCACATGTGACTCAAAGAAAAGGATCAGTTGGGACACCTGTGACTTAAGTCAAGGCAGCTTCAAGCTTAGTAATAAGTAGGCCAAATTGGTGTTTATTACAGAATAAAATATTAATTTGTGCTAATATTCCCGGTCACATAATTTTTGAAAATGGGAGAGGTACATTTTGCGAAACTTGAATTTCGCGATTTGTCAGAAAAGTCGTAATGAAAGAAAAAAAATGAGGATAAAAAGAGTCTAAGTCAACACTTAACAGAACAATAACAAAACGAAAATCACAACAACTTAACTTCGCTTCTTTTGTGGGACTTAAATTTCACAAAATTTTTTATAAGCCTCGCAAAAATCAGCACGAATAAAGTCAAACAAAATACCTTTTGAGCTCTTCCCAACAATCTGTCCAACGTCCCCAGGCTTGGTTCTCACAGCCAGTCCATCTGCTCCACGCACTATTTCCCCCGTGTCAGGATCAACTTTGATAATGGTCACAGGATAGATAGCGGGCGCAATCTCTGAAACAAAACCACAAGCACCAGCCTTGTTGTCTATGTTGACTACGGAGGCAGTTCCTTCAGTTGAGCCATAAAATTCCCCAATTTGTTTGATGCCAAACCGGGACTGGAACTCTTCCCAAATCTGAGGCCGGAGACCGTTGCCAAAGGCCAAGCGCACCGAATGCTGTTTCTCAGCAGGACGATAAGGTTGAGCCAAAAGGTAGCGGCAAACCTCACCAATGTACTGAACGATCTAACGCACAAGAAAAAATGACAGTGAAGGTATTGCCTTTAGGACTGTGTTTGACTCCATGAACCTTCCGACCCCTTCATAAAAGTTTCCATCGTCAAATAACGTGTTGACGAGCAAGAACAGTTTAAGAACATGAAAAATTAGTACGAGCTCTTTTGCTAAGCACTTAGTGCTTAGTAAAATCATGAAGCATGAATAACACAAACAACGCAAGAGAACCGCTGACGTACAGGTTCATTATGGTCAAATTATTAACATAATTTTGTCCATAGATTCAATATCCCTGTGGTTCAACTTTATTTTCCTTTTTTTTTTACTCAACATCAAACACTTACATACACACACATGCACAAAACAAATAAAGACTAATTGAGGTTAGGATGAAATTAAGCCACAACATCCTCATACGTGATTACAACAATAAAAGGGTAAGAGTTGCAACTGTACTGACTGGAGTATGAGTTTTGCCCATGCAAAACGTGTCCACATTGCCCCGACCAAACCAAACACAAAAATAAAAGAAAAATGACAGCACTTACTGTAGCCTTTGATTTTACACAATCATCCCAAAATTGACTGGCAGAAAATTTGCGTCGCAGAACCAATGTACATCCATTAATGAGACACTGCCCGACACCGAGGACGCCAGCAGAAGAGTGATACAGGGGCAGGGAGGAGTAAACAATGTCTTCTGTACTTACGCAGAGTGCGCATGTTATCCCATATGCCATCCTAAAGTATCTAAAAGATAAGAAATTGGTCATAAAGGAGTACGTGGAGCTACATGTAATGTTCCTGAAAAGAAAGAGAGGTGGGGTATTAAAATAACTTGGTTTCCAGCTAAAAGCAGTATATTCCTTAAGAGTTAATACCAGTGTCTTTCTAAATAATGGAATCTTTGTTTGTCTTTTTGAATGTACATTAATTTGTAAATCTCGCTACGTATAGGCAAGTTACAATTGGCTGCTTGAGATTGAATTATTCAAAAATCAAAATGTCATTAAGTCTGGGCTATCCCAATTGCTATTTCTACAACAAAAGATGTAATATGTTACTCTAATGGCTACATTTATCATTTTTTTGACACATAATGTTGCTGGTTTTTGTCAATGCCAATGTTTAAGAAAGTGGAACATTAATTTGTCATAGAAAACACCAAGGGAGCTCATGGAGAGGTTTACAAATTTCACACATCTGTAATTTCTGCTCATTTCTTTGACCAAGATCTGTTTTTTTTACGCACTGCATTGTTATTAAGGTTAGACTCAAAACCAACTGTTTTTTCTAGAACATGTAGGCACTTGGACTGAATTAGGAAAAGAAGATCTGGATGATAATTTTCACCGGTTATTATTGAAGGATTCAGAAAACCATTAACATCGGCATAGAGTGAAGGGTGAACATTAAATTCCAGGTTGAATGGCAATGAAGGGAAGGATTGTCTCCAGGTGAAGTGATCAACCAGCGACAATATGAAGGAGTGCTTCAGGATTAAGGAGCAGTCAGGAGCAATCAGGACTTTGTAATAATTCCCATCTTGCCATATTCTTACGTGTAGGAAGGGAGTTGTTGATGTAGCGGATGGTAAAATTGTAAATGTTCTTGGGTAGATGAGACCAGGCCTCTGACCAAATAGAATTAACATTGAAGGGGAAGAGGAGGCGAGAAGAGGAAACCTCCCACCCCTCTCCATTCACTCCTCTTCTTTGCTCTCCTCCCAACTTTCTCCATGAATTTGAAGGGAAATGCTTGCTACACAGGCAGTCTGTACATACCTAGCATTTGTTATAACTGCAGCTTTCGGCAATCCTGTAGTCCCTGATGTATAAATATACAGTAACTTATCTAAAAAGAATAAGAGAATGTACACGAGTTAGGAGACCCACAGAGGACAAATGCAGTCAAGAGAGGTGAAGAGAAATCCAATGACTGTCCTACTGACAGTTAACCCCTATTTTGCGGGTACTTTGGGACCATGAACAAAACTAATAAAAGCACGAGATCAAGCAAAACTAACTACGAGAGAACAACTGGAGAACTGACAATTTGACAAACAATAGACGACTGTTTAACCCTTTAAGCCCCAATAACCACATACAAATTCTCCAAACTGATCTCTACATATTTCCTTTAAGAATGTGTTGAGAATTTGATAAAAGATCAAAGCATTTTCTCCTAGATGATCATTTTATTAACTCTCATAACCTAATCTCTTGACAATCTATGGATATTGTTAGGAGAAAATTGATGTTGGTAACCATTGGGACTTCAAAGGTTAACTGTGACAATAGACGGATCGAAACGCACCAATTACTGATTACGAGTCTTCATAGCCAATAACATCACAGCTTAACTGACAGACGACCAATAACATCGTGACGTAATTGACCAATCAGATCAATAACCACAGTATAATACCATCAACTGACGTGATACAACGTCTCGCTTTGACTCTGAAGATGACTACCGCACAGGTTGTCAAAACGTCAGTCACTGTCAACAACAACAGTCCTATTCAGGACTATGTTCACCCCGACGATCAAACTCAACCTACTTTTGTATTTATTCGATTAAACACAGCCCTTGACAAAATGCCGTAGATTGAAGCAAAATTATCTATAAATGCCGCCCTTGAATAAATGCTGCACCTTATCGAAAGAATGTGGCGCTTATTGGAGGATAATAGAACAAACTCGGTACAACTTGGTAATTTACACCATCCAGACATTTACGATTTAGATTGTGAGCTCTCTCTTATTTTTCTTTTGAGTCACAGTAGATTGAGAGCATGCAAGGGGGGTGAGTGGCGAAGCCACGAGGAACGAGGGTATTCACTGCTGTTTGATTAGGAACATTGGATCTCTTCTCATCTGTGAGGTATTGCAATGATACTATCGTAATGAATCCCGAAACTCTGTAAAAAACAGGATTCCTCAAAGTACAGGAAGAAGAAAGCATAAAAGCAAAGAAGCCTGGCGATACAGTATTATGGTTGACCACCTTTCGTGGTCATGTACAGAAATTTAGATAGGATATATTTTGATCAAGAATATACTTCAGGTTCCACAAAGGCATGGGCTAGTTAATCCATTAACAGATCTCCGTTTCCATTTGGAAACTGGAGTGCAGTGACTGCAGTTCTTGTCTGGTCACCATGTTCTACAAAAGTTGGAGCCACACTGACTCCCTTGAGAGTGAGATTTTTTGGTGTTGACAGATTGACAAGTAGCCGACTAATCGGGCATTTCTGTTTCACTTATGGTAATTCAAAATACAATAAAACCTCCGAGGGCATCCTTTTTCCTCTCTCTGCCCCAATCTCTCCTCCTTTTTACCATTAATTTGCATAATTTTACTTTTTTCTCTCACTGTGGGTGGCTCTGAGGAAAGAAGGACGACCGCTCAGCAAAATAGGAGAGACATTAAAAACCTTACTTTACATAATATTGGGCAATTCCAGAAAATATCCATACCCAACCACGGACGGCTTCCATGTTTTAACCCCCCCTTGCCTTCGGAAATTCCAAAATGCGTTACCCCCCCATGCCCCCAGAATTCCATAATCGTGAACCCCCCCTCCCCTTCAGAATTTCCATTTTTTTAAAGTACATTTTCGACTTAGCAATGCCTATATGAACAAACGAACATGAATTTATGCCTCCTCAAGGCTGTGATCTAGCGGCGCCAGGCGACAAGCTTTACTCTTCAGTGACAAGAAAAACCTACCGCTAGTGGCCAGGCTGTGCAAACTCCTTTTTAAGTCCGAATTTGGCTATAAAAATAAACACCACTTAAGGTAATTTTACTCCTCTTTGTTTTCTTGGCTGTTTTGACGTTTACAAAGGAAAATAGCTCAAACTCAGACTGTTAAAATCTTTTGGCGGTCAAATATACCGTCTAGTCGTGTTGTGTCCTTTTATATGTCATGTTGTGTGCACGAAAAGTGTTCTAATCTGACAGGCGTTCCTTGGAAGTGAGGGACTGGTGCGAGTTTTTTACTGTTCATCGGACGGGAGTAACAAGAAATTTGCAAGCGGTATTAAATTAAAGATACATTTTCAGTTTTTATTCATGTGACAAGCAAGAAATTCATCAAGGTAAATGTGAAACCAACGTTTTACTGTTCACTTCTATAAGTTATGAGCGTAAACACGTGTCTGATCTATCGATGCTTGTCTTCTGCTTCCGCGGTCATACGTTCGAGTGGTTTATTTACGAACTACAAAAGTCCACAACAATAGCGTTTTCAAGGAACTCACTCTACACTTTCTACTCCAGAAATCCCACCTGCGGAATTCCCCCATGTCTTCGGATTTCAAATCGTAAATACCCCCCATGCCCTCAGAATTCCATAATCGTGAACCCCCCCTCCCCTTTGGAAATCCTAAAAGCCGTCCGTGGTATAGTATGGATATTTTCTGGAATCGCCCATTTACAAACAATTTACACTAACTGTTGTCAGCAGGGTTCTTACTTTTTACCAGACTTCTTACCATTTTCCAGACTTTTCCCAGGTCTGGAAAATTACTGGGCAAATTTCAAGACGTTTTCAAGAATTCAAGACTTTGTATGAACCCTGTGTCAGTGATGTAAGAAAAGTGATTTTGAAATAAATGCTGCGCTTGAATAAATGCTGAATTGGAAATGCTAAAATTTAAGGTGTTAATCGAATTAATGCGGTAGTACATGACAGCTGAACACAGGTAACCAAATTGCATGACTTTAGCTCCCATTCTAGTTGTCAATTTTTGTTTTCTATTTGCTGCGATGGTTTCAGCTGGGAGCTCTGGTCAGGTAATGCAGGTTCTACCTATACTTCTACAATCAGCTAACCCATCATAAATTCTGCAAAAACCTGTTATTTTCTTTTTGTTTCAAACTCATTATCATGTCATTATCATACATCACCATACCCAAAAACAAAAGAAAATAACATTTAAACCAAGGATAAAATTGAACACATACATGCAGTTTCCTACAAACTGCTTGGTTTTTGCCTTCTTTACTTACCTGCAATAGATTTAGAGTGAGTGACATTGGGTGCTACGGATGAACAATTTTCAAGCTCTTTCTCTAAATTTGTCGCTGAAGGCAATGTTGGGGAATCTCCTAAAGAATACAGCTGTACTATGCTTGGAATTCTGGTCTGGATTTCCTTAATAGCACCTGTAATAGCAAAAATAAAAGTGTATGCAATGCTTAGTTACTTTTTACTTGGGGTTTTGAAGCTTAACAATTAAAAACTACATTGTTGTCGTAAATGTAAAATGTATAATTTTTATCAGTACTGCTATATATAGCTTGTTTTGAAGGGCTTTTCTAGTAAGGTCATGAGCCCCATCAAAATAAGCCCTTTTTTTTATAAGCCCTCCTATGAAGATGTAGAAGCCCAAGGCTTATAAGTGGCACTTTACAGACTGTATTTTATTTCACTGTGTACAAATACCAAACAATTGGAAACAGACTGCAAGCAAGCTCTCCATGGGGAAATTGTGAGCTTAGAAGGTCACTCATGGCCAAGCTGTGAAGCTGTGAAAAGTAATTGGCTGGGAAAGGAGTGAGACTTGAAAAAAATCACCCTTCACCAGTGTTACACCCTCCTGCCTTGCTTTGCCTGTTTAGTGTAGCTTGTGCGTAACCTTTTACCCCTTAGGATAGTCAAATGGAGGGCTAGGTTGCAGGATAAACTGAATAGTAGTAATTTTGGCCAAGATTTTTTTACCTGAGAAATTAGATCCAAAAATTACTGCTTTTACATTGGCAACGGATATACAATGCCAAAGTGAATCAAGCCGCAAATTGGTGTTGATTTGAGCAGTAACAACACCAAGTTTAGACAGTCCCAGCCATGCACAGACAAACTCAGGGCTGGATTCTAATAAAACAGCCACGCAATCNCTTGTGCGTAACCTTTTACCCCTTAGGATAGTCAAATGGAGGGCTAGGTTGCAGGATAAACTGAATAGTAGTAATTTTGGCCAAGATTTTTTTACCTGAGAAATTAGATCCAAAAATTACTGCTTTTACATTGGCAACGGATATACAATGCCAAAGTGAATCAAGCCGCAAATTGGTGTTGATTTGAGCAGTAACAACACCAAGTTTAGACAGTCCCAGCCATGCACAGACAAACTCAGGGCTGGATTCTAATAAAACAGCCACGCAATCTCCTTTCTGGTAACCCAGTGCCTTGAAATAATTGGCTATCCTGTTGGAATAGTCTTCAACCTCTTGAAATGTCCAAGTTTTCTGCTCAAATATTATGGCAGCTTTTTGAGGATATTTGGAGACTGTTAGTTGAAATATATCAGGAACTGTTTTCTTTTCTCTTTTATAACGGCGGGTGTAATAAATCACCTTTGAATAAAGAAAAATACCCCTGCAATGAAACCAAACAATGTCAATAAAATGTGACATTAGTTATATACCATAAGTGAAAATCATTACTGTACTTCTCTGAAATTGATTGCCAATTGAAGAACCTTGTAAACACAGCTTGGGTCCTTGGTCAATTGCAAGGAGTGGTTAATGCACGTGGTTGGGAAAAAACTAAATTTATTGACCAGTTGTTTATTTAACATTTTACTAACTAAGGAAACAACATCCTAGTATACATGACCATGGCATATTTTGATCCCTCAGTCTGAATATATCAGGACATGTCAAACTATTTTTCGGTTCCATTATTTTAAGATCAGGGTAACAACACGGTAACGGAAACGATTGTTACTGTGAAATCCTAGGGCTTGCCCTAGCAGCTCACCCCTTCAGCGCTGGCATGATTCCTCAATTATCTAAAATCCCAATAAGGTTGAATAGACTGCAAGTACATCCATATTTCCATATACACACAGCTAAAAGCATGAACCATTTCGTTTATCTAACAGCGTTTACAGACCAGATAAAGTACAGTCTCAGTCAAAATTGTTGGGACACTTTACTGTCTTCTTACTCTCCCAATGTTGGTGTGCAAGATTTGGTAAGTTTAGTGTAATAAGCAACATTGGGAGGACAAGGAGACGGGCCAGAAAGCAAAAGACAAAACAGCTTTTGGTAGAAGTGTCCTCACTACACTTTTGTCTGAGACCGTGTTCGACAAACGCAGACTGCAGACTTGCAGGTAAATAAGGTAAACATTGTTGTGAAATGATCTAACAGATTCCCTGTCCCTAACCTTTAAGTGTTTAGGGACAGGGAATCTGTTAAAGCATTTCACAACAACATTTACCTCGTTTACCTGCGCAAGTCTGCAGTCTGCGTTTGTCGCACACCGGTAGAGTACCTGATCGATGCTTGTTGATCAATAATGTACATGTTTAACAAATTACGATCATAAATTAAACGATTATGTTAACCTTCGATTGTCTGTTAGATAAAAATCAGAGAAAAACGTACCTCACATCACGCAGAATCGTTCGAAAGAAAACTTTAGGGAAATTCCGCCCACCAGACGCCAGAAAGGTTATAAACAGAAATGCAGGGAAAACAACCATAGGAAGTCGGAGATACAAGATCATCGCTGCATAAGCCGCGATCACCGCACACCAAATATACAACATTTTATGCCCTCTAATATGGCGAACAAATCTACTCGGAAAAGATAGCTTTTTTAAGCAGTCTGAGCTACTAAGCATGGATGCAAAATCGCCACACTACAAAGTAACTTTTGTATAGTGCACTGTTTTCACATAACAATGCCTAAATATGGCATAATTACGTCTTCCGGCTATCTATCGACTTGTGCGTCGCCACGCTCGAATGATTATCGATGTTTTTTGATCGTCGTTAAGGCCAGCGGCGGGTAAATACTTCGCACTTAGCGACGCCTTTGAGTGAATTTTTAAGGATCGGTGAATTGTGTTTTGCTTTGGGCTGTGGTGTTATTGGTATGACTAGATAACTTCAGTTCTCTTTACGGAAAAGGATAGCATTGCTTTTAAGGTGATGAAATTGTGAAAACATGCGAACGAATTGACTTAATTAATCAAGATCAAATCTTCCAAACTCTCCTGCAGAGCTGAGTCTGTTTCGTTCACTATCATTTCATTCCTGTGTTGTTCCATGGTACTGCAACGGATTTGACAACAGCAAGAAGGCTTGGAGGCAAACATAAATGAGTTCTGCTACAGTTGCGAAAACTGTGGCAAAGAAATTGTAAGTATTCTTGGTAGTGTTCTCTTTTCATCAGCCATCACTACCAAGCTCAATTAGTTTAAGTTATTAAGATTAATTTCCGACTCGATTGCAATCAGCACTAGCTGTTATAAGCTGAATGTGAGTGTATTTTTGGGTAAAGAAGTCAAGCTTTAAGTTTAAAGCCGTCTGTTTCCTTCTTTATTCGAGAAACTTGTAAGTAAGGCCGATCACGTCAATGGATCTTTGGCTAAGTTTAAATTTTTCAACTCAATCTGTCAAGTAATATTTGCGTTATTTGTTGCACGTTTTAAAACGTATTAACCTGTTCTGAAATTTAAATAAAATAATCGCTCATAAGAGAATCAAGGAAAAATGCTGTTCGACTAGCTTGTACTAGCAGTGCAGACAGCATGGCCATGATATACATCTGTATAACGCTCTCTTCACGTCACTATGAAGAGATAAACACCACACTTAACACTCAAGTGTATCATTAAAGAGGTTTAAAATTATTTAGATAGACAATACATCATAAGTCAAATGCAACGTGATTGGTTTTGCTGGTTTGCAAAATGTGTATGAAATCATTTTATTTTTCATACAAAATATTTTGCTATTTCTGAATGGCTTTAATGCGCAAGATTATTCTTCATAATTAACTGGCACTGACCATATTTGGAAAATGTGAGCAATATACAATCATTGATGTCAGTCACTCGGTTGTCAATTCTTGTATGTTGTCAATAAACAGTCATTGATATCACCCAAGACAGAAGTGTGGCAACTTAGCTGTTTTGTCTTAAGTGCAGAACTCAAGAAAATGATGAAAGAGTTCACTGCCATGCAAAGACGAAACAGCAAAATTACTGACTAAAAAATGAATGAAATGAAATCGTAAAGTTAAAAAAAATCTCAATAAATGTTGTCTGCATTCTGTTGTGTATCTGTTTAACACAGGTAAAATTTGATTTCAAGTTAAAATTTTTCCCTTGTTCAATTCACAATTTCCTTTGTCTCTAAGGGCTAGGATTATGATTGGTCAGGAAATGAGGGGAGAAGTGCTTCTTGTCTACTGATGTTATTAGAATTTGTTGTTTAACAAACCTGCTACCTAAACTCATTTCATTCTGCCAATTTTTATAATACCTAACAAAGTGTCTAGCCTAATTGCTGGCAACTATAAGGTTTTCATATCACTAAAATTTTTACTGACCATCTGATCTGTACTTGTCTAATCTTTAGTCTTGCCTCTACAGCAGAGATCCATATTCATTTTTTCTCAGAGTCATCAGCCAGGCAAGTAAGCCTCATGGCGTACTTGCCCGATTACAATTTCAGTTGCCTGGACAAAAGTGCAGAATTATATAAAAGAATAGTGAAAAAATTGTGTGCAACTTGAACATTTCTGATAAGCCTTTTATTTCCGTTTAAGTTACTAAGAAAGGGTTTTAACTAAGTTAAGTACCACAGGCTACACGCCTAGGCTAAACACAGTTTATCAACATTTTACAAGTAGCCCTGGTCAGTCAGTTTGCCATGAAGGTTAGACAGTGCACTTATGTTTTCCCCCATATAAGGCAGCAGCTCCTGTGTCACCTTTTTTTTCCATCGAAGGCAGTGAAACGTCTTCTAAAAGAAATAACATCTTGATGCATATAAGGCACCGGCTTCTGCTTCACTGTTTTTTTCTGCCAAAGGCAACGAAACGCCCTCTAAAAACACCACATCTTGATGATTTCAGTCACATTTTCTACGAATGGCCTCTGAATGCAGTACTTCACAATAGACTGAGCGAGTGATCGTTTCTTAGAAAATGCTGCACCATCAGAGATGGCGCCCAAACTTACGATTTCATTGCTTGTTTATTCTCTATTATTCTAAAAGTTTTAAGTGGATGAGACGTAAGCATTCAGAACACAGGGAAAATGTATAAAACCATATAAGAATATTTGAAAAGATTTTCTGGTTTAGCAAAACCTCACTTGTCCAAAGGGTGACTTTTGAAGTTATCTTAATCGTCTTTCGAGGTTTTTAAGTTCTCTGGGAATATGGATCCCTGCTACTGGTAAATAAAGTGAACTACTGATCTAGGTTTATCGATCAAGGATTGGGAGACAAAGAATATGGTTAAAAGTTTGTATTAGGCTTAATGACCATTTAGGGATTTGAAAAACCTTGACCAGCCAGCTGCTAGTCATATAGCCAATATTATTTAAAACAATCCATTAACAGATGCCAATTGTCAAGAATTGGATCGAGAAGGCATCTAACTCTAGCACAGGCTATAAAAGCACATATATTTATAAATATAACTGAAATTAATGAGGATACAGTTTTTAAAAATGGTGTTTCACTATAAAGTGCATATCAACTAACTATGCCCAGTATGTTGTTTTGAAAACAGAGAGTGAAACTAGGAAAACTGAAAGAAATGCTTGATGTGTGTTTCAGTCAGCTGAATAGTTTCTACAATAGGGATGAAATTGCTGACCGAAGTAGGTCAGTAATAATTATAGAAGAGTATTGTTATCAGTAATAACCAATTAAAGGAAGATCTTGAAAGACTGTTTTCATTTAGCAGACCTATTTTTGTTAATAATTAATTATTTCTGCCTCATTTTGCAACTATCAGTGTTCCTGTTTGGAGCTCTAACCAATGAATTTATGTCATATTCAATTCCCTTAGGATTGTTTAGAAATATTAACAAATCAAACTTTTTAAGTATCATACATAAACTCTAAGTCAGAAAAACAAAGTATTTTTTATTAAACTACAAAAACCTGGCATTTAATTTGAGAATGATCTATGTGGAATGCTACATTTTTTCAAGTCATTAATTATTTATTGTGAAATAACATTTTACTCCTCTGGCATGTTTCCATGGTCTCAAAACTTTACACTGCAATTCCCTTGCAAGCTGTTAAATACTTATTTTGACTCTGACCACAGTACAGTGTTGTTCATGAACTTACTCTGTAATTCAAATTAGTGATTTTACATTTCTGGAACTTGTGACCTGAGCTTGAGAATGTTTTTGTGTAATTTCCTTCTCTGGAATAATACATGAAGAGAACTTCAAGGAAATCTTTTAATCATCGTCCTTTGTGCCCTAATTCTTGCCTTCACTTCCTGGAAACAGTGTCTGATTCTGGAGAATCTGAGTATGGAAGTCAAGAGAAGTATGGCTATAGAATACTAAGCTTGCTATGTACCAAATTTCATGCATTTTTGCTACTTAGTCTTCTCCTTGTTTATAACTTTTTGGTTTTCATTACTAAAATTAGGCAATCAATGGGTAATTATAGGTTTCATCATTAGTATCACTAACATCTTAGTGTTTACTATTTTACAGTTTATGTTTATAGCCTTAATAGAATCTGTTAATGCATTTTTTTCTCTCTTGCATACTTGTAGGAAGTATTATCTTGATGTTCAGAGAAGAGAAGATGGTTTTGATTTATCTGGGCCATGTTATCCCAGAGAGGATCCAGTTCCTTTAAGAGCTGTAAGAATTTGAATTGTTTTTTCATATCAAACCACTCTTTAAAGTTTAGCAGTTTGATTTATGTGTTACATCCTGAAGTTGAAGTTTAAAAACACAAACTAATGTAATGATTGTAAATGGTTAGTTATGCAAAATTGTATTTCATCACAATTCCTTAATCCATGTCTACTTTTCAATTGCTTGCCATTTCCTTGTTTTTGACATATCAGGTCAATTTTTGCTTTGAGGAAGAAGAAAGTTCAGCCATGGATATACACACTGTATGGTCCTTTTTTAATAACAAAAACCAAATAAATAAGCTTCATTGAGTTGAGTCTGTGTATGTGAAAATTTGCAAGGCTGACTTACATGTACGAGGCTGATTTCAAATAATGAACATATGAATATCACATATTAGACCTGTGGGATAAAGAATTAAACGTAAAGAAGATCATTGCAGTGCTGTTATAGATACAACATCTGCATAAAGAAGGCCTGGAAAAAAATTCTTGGCAGCTGCAGTTAAGTTGCATCTTCTGCTTGCACTTCTGGACAAACTTGAACTCTACATTTTTCTGCATGTTTTACTTGCTTGCAAGCCAAACATTGTTTTTAATGCTGTTTTTTTGGGGGGACCGTGGGGGGGGTTTGTGTCAAAAACACTCTGACTTAGTCAACTAATTGGCTTTCAACAAGACCACTCTTATTTCAAAACATTCCTCAAGCTTTAACTTCAACAAATATAATAATTATGATCATCATTTGCTGTTTATTTCAAATCTAGGGTCCAACATTAGATTATGATGGAATCCATGACAGAAGCTTAAAGCATTACTTTCACAATAATAACGTAAAGAAGCAGTTGCAACAAATGCACACAGCTCGGAACCAAGATGCCCGTGAGGGTACAGTGAGAGGTTTTATGGACCAGACCATGGCATCTGTGGATTATAGACTCAAGCCTGGTCCTATCTCACCTTATGCTATACCTCAGACGGTAACACCTAAGCCACCTCCACACCGACCACAAGCCACGATAACTGTAGACCAGTATATGAAGACAAAGAGAGGAGCTAAGCGAAGGTACATTATTTGAATCATTGTTTTATTCCTAGACTTTCACTCAACTAAACAGGGACTTCCATTGGTTGATTCTTGGTCACATGGCCTTGACTAACATCAAATGTGTCCCAATTGTGATACATAAATTTAAGCAATGTACCCCACTTGGGAAACATTACAGCACGTGATCAAAGCATTGTGGAAAGCGGCGTGACAGAAGGTGGGAAAAACACTGCCAGTTTTCTTTTTCGTGAATGAACACAACAACACAAACATGAAGCCTCATGCTAAAAAGCAATGATTTTTAAAGTTATATCAGAAGAGAAACAGCAGCTAGTGGAGGAAAAAGATGCAGATAATATAAGGAAAGTAGTTTGTAAATCATTCATTCAGTGGTTTTGAGAATTAAATTTGTGTTGTTATGAGTACCGAGTTGACTGTTTTATTGCTCTCTGGTTATTCTTTTGTTGCTGTTTGAATGCTTCAATAACTACATATAGCATAAAGATCTTTTCTATTAGATTTTGTACTCTAGTTGCTGTTTACTGCACTTGCAACGTAGCGAAAGATGCTTTCAGAATTGTACTTTACATTACAACTTAGTGAATTAATTACTTTAAATGTAGTTTAACGACGAGTACTTAGTGAATTAATTACTTTAAATGTAGTTTAACGACGAGTGTGAGCCTAGTTTTAGCTTCTGAACACTTAAAACTGTAAGTGGAGTCATAAAAGTGATTTCATCATAGTGACCTCTTTTATACGGACACCTTTAATTTATGAACACTTCGCTCTGCCCTTCGGTGTCTGAATTAGAGAGGTTCGACCGTATAACAAGTTGTACTGCTGTCAATTTACTTTTTAATTAACTGAGTTATTCTCGTACATCAGGGTGCTATGTGCTGTTGAAAAGAGCCTGAACTTAAACCACCATTTCTACTATTAATAGCTTGTACCTCTTTCTATAAAAACAACAGCAACAGCAACAACATTAGTCAATGAATGACTGGCTGGGACAATCCAATATTATCTCACAGTGGAGCAAAAGCATTAAATCTATTATTCAATAATAACAAGTTACAAGGTATTTGAAAGATGTTACTCAATATATCTGTACTTGCCAAAGGAAGCTCATTTGGAAACAGCAAGGTGGCACTCTATGGGGGTACCGGTAGGTAGCTATAGCCAAACATTATAAACATCGGGAAAGTATGAGATTTAAAGAGCATTTTATGTTTTTAGAAAACTCCCTGTCAATGTGGTTGGCAAGCCAAGGAGAATACTAAGACGATCTCCTCCTCAGCATGTTAGTCGAGATGAAAGAGAGAGACTGGTTAATATGGCTACTAAACTTATTGTTGCTACGGTAAGATTTCAGATTACTGTTTGATGACGTTTCATTTAGGAAAAAAACGATCACTGCTTGAATACACTGTAATAGTTTGTCTGTCAAAGATCTGGTTACAGAAAAATTACTTTATTTATACTTACAATCATCAACTACCAGCAGTCATTTTTGACTCATGCATTTTTTTTCCTTTTTGTGTCCCTTAATTAAGAGGTTACCATTTAAATGTATACATGTGTAACTACCCTCAGAAAATTATAAGCTGTGATCTCCCTATTATTCAAAGAGCAAAAAGCAGTGAGTCCATTTTAACAGTGTTACTAGTTACATAAAAGTTATAATCATTTTAAAATTGAATTGTTATTCTTTTGATGATTGTTATTCTTTGATGATATATTTGCTTAGGTCTTTTTTTGAATCCTCTATTTAACATACTTTGTCTAAAAAATCTCTGTTTTTTGATTCAGGAAACTGTTGCTTTACCTGCAACTAAGAAGCAAAGCAAAGGATTTCAGGCTTCTGAAAAGGTTAAATATTAGTGTGTTTATCAACTAGAAATGTTTAAATACCTTGCTTACATTTTTATGAACAAAATTTTAGGTCATTATTATCTGCCTTTTTTTCAAAAAAGGCAATTTGTAAGGTTTTGTGTCTCGGTTTTTTTTGTAACAAAGTTCCATTTGGTGTGACTCTTCAGAGATCCTTTATATGATGTATTATACTGTACATCCACCTTTCTCTTTCATCTGTTTAGTGACAGAATATATATTTTTGTAGGTATGTGGATATGCTAGTTGATTAGATCATTAATTAATAGACTTTGAGAGTAAATTGGATGGTTGATTGACTTTCAGGATATACCCAGACTTCAAAGAGAAAAGAAGCGCCAAGTGGCCACAGAGTCACTCTCATCAGGTACTCTAGACCTACACATGTGCTAAAGAGTTGTGGAGATCTACAAGACTGATGTTTACATTTTTGTATCTTACGATATTAATTTTGTTGGAGTTTTCAAGTTGGAAACTTTTTGAGGGAGCTTGTTAATATTTCTAGTTGCTGCTTATCTCTCTGGACTGATTTCCATCCTCAAATAATCATTTATTTTCCCATTTCTCTAGATTCAGAAGGTTCTCAAAAAGTATCAAGACGACCTGCCCCTCCAAAGGTTTGTGGCAGTTTTCATTGGTAACACCAACCACAGATGAAACAAGACATATAGCTGAATGTACATGCATGCACTGTACTATCCGCGTACAAATTCTCGAGACTGGTCTCCATACTTTTCTTAAAGAATTAGTTGGGAGAATTTGATAAAAAATCAAAGCATTTCCCTTATGTGATCATTTTGGTTTTTTTATAACCTTTTCTCTTGGATTGTTTGGAGAAACTTTATATTAGGGAGTTTAAGCTTCACGTATATGGCAAACGTCAAACGTCAGATTCAAGTTGGGAATTTCTCAGAATAGAAAATGAGCAGATAAAAACAGCTCAAAACAATTCTTTTGGATAAAAAATTGCGTGAAGCTGCTAACTTATGAGTAGAAGAAATGAACAGTAAACGATAAGTAAAGGGGAAACTTGGTCACGTGGTACAAATTCGCGTTTGCCGTTTGACGTAAACGTGGTGCATAACCTTCCTATTGTGACTGAAATCAATCAATCAATCAATCAATCAATCATTCATTCAATTTATTTATGTCAATATGTGGGACGGGGTTGTCCCAATCACTGGAGCTGGAAACTCATGTATGAAACATATGACAATAAAAATACTAACTTATAATAATAAAAATAATTTAAAAGATCATACGTGTATAAAAACAAATGAAAATAATATATCAGTGAATGCTCAAACGTTCAAAGCAACACCCTCCCGCGTCCTACTGAATTAATTAAAAACTAAAAATTGTAGGAATAAGTTAAAACCCTGAGATAAAAAAAAATAAATCTAAGATGTAGAAAAAACCCTAAGGTATACAAAAATAATACATTTACAACTGGCTTTTAAGTTTATAAGATTAAAAGATCTTAAATGCTTACGAAATTCACTCAACTCAGTTGATCTCTTAATGTCCTGTAAAAGCCCTGTAAAGGGAGTCACAATGAATGTACGCATGTATGTATGTAAAAATTATTAATGTTGGTCCCTGTTGGGACTTGCAGGGTTAAGGCTGAAGTTTTTTAAAATCATTTTTCAGGGTAAACCCAGGTCAGGGTCAGCTCCTCACAGAAGACCTGAATCCACATTTTTTAAGTCATCCTCTTCAAGAAGAGATGGAGAGAAACATGGCCGAAGTGGTGTCCATATTGTGCTGCCTGGAGGATCACAAAGTGACGATGAAGATCGCCTCAGGTGAAAGAAAAACACGAGTTGTTGTATAATTTAAGTTAACATTATTTAACTAAAGCTTAGTTTTCAACTTTAACCCAAAATTTAGCCAGATCCTCTCACTCACTGTAACAGTTGTCTTAGAATCAGATACTTATAAACTGAGTCCATGGAGGCCTAGAGGACCCATGATGATTGATGAAGTTTACGCCAGTTTATCATTTGGGTTAAATTTGTGTGCATTTACATGTGTTCTCATGAACTATTTGATCAGTATTATAGGTTCAAAAGTCAATTCAGCATCATGTGTAAAGTTAAGAAAACCATTGAAGAAAACTTCTCTACTTGTTCCTCTGTGTACAAATGACTCTGTCTTGTTTTCTAGTCAAATATTTTTTTTCCACATTGATGTTCCAGGACTCTGCATGATGCTGCAGCTCTTTGTTTAAAGCCCATGAAGAAATTGGATAAAATTCAACATAAACATTTCATAAGTGAACAACGACGCGGGCAAGATTTGACTTGAAGTTTTTCTTGCTTATTCTAAAAAAATAGACACTCACAGGCTTCATTTTACTTTTTTCACCAGAAACGTTAACAAGGATATTTTTATTGAAGGAACTTAAACCCTCTCCCGATTGTGGAATGATAAAACTTTTAACATTTGACAACTTGTTTCTGTTACTACAACACCATAACCTGTAGTAGAATGGCGATGGCTATCGTATTTTCCCACCAAAATGATGATGGTCACGCACGTGCACACGCACTGCTTATGTGAAAATCTTGTTCTTGCAGTTGTTCTCATTTTGGATTCCTAAGGTCTCTAATTATACTAAATAAGGAAAAATAGAAACAGTCATAGTAGAAAATAGAATCTCCAGCATTTATATTGAATACTGATGTCTGTGCCCTTGGTGAGATGTTTTCTTGGTGATTTTGTAGGTCATTGGTCGGACGCATGAATTTGGAGGGGCGTGGCAGCAGTGTCATTGCATCAAAGCACCAATCAAAAGAAACTAGACCTAGAAGTGCGGCTGTTCCACAGAAGTCACGGACGGAGGAAGATAGTTTCGATGATGAAGAATTTGAAAGTGGAGGATCTCCAAGACTGTCCTCCACTCGTACCACTCCGAGGCAATCATGGATGGAAAGTGAACACGAAATGATTGATATGTCTACACAGACAGTTGTTCATTCAGGTGAGTTGCTTTGTAATCATCTGATCAGGGGCACCAAACGATGGTTTCCTCCTAAATACATTTAAAACTCTTTTTAGGCTATCCAGAGTACTTTTAGATATCTAGAAATGCATTCTAATCGTCGCCATAAAATTTGTATCTGTTCGGTCATCCCAGGAGAACGTAAGTCTTTTCGAAATTACAAGGGCTTCAGTATTATTTTCCGGAAAATTTTTGATGCAATTGAACGTTTTACGAAAGTGAGAATTGTTCTTATTCCTCTCTCCATTACATTTTTGAATCCAAAAAGGTTTAGGTTTCCTTTTTTCTATGAAAATTAGCCTTACATGGGGAGTAAAATGTCAGAAATTAAACTTCAGAAAATCGTAGGGAATTCATTAGATAAGCTTCGAAAATTGTATCTGAATGGAACGGTCATCTAGAAATTTCTAACTTTCGCGGAGACTGTTGGGACTGTTACTGGGGACAGGAAAAAGAATTGGCCAATAGCTGAGCGGCACATTCCCAGTAATGATGATTTTGGCTCCGTTACCCTTCTCGTTTCTAAAGTGGAGAATGGTAGTCTGTTAGTGTGGTAGGTGGGGTGGGGTGGAAGAGGGGTAAGGGGTAGCCTGCTGGCAAGCTCTGAAGGGGGAAGGGTACAGGGCTGGGGAGCTCTTTCCCCCCTCCCATGAAGCCGATGGGCGAGCCTCGCCCTGGGACGATCCCTGGAAAGCTGCTTGCAGGCTAGGTAGCAAAACACGGGAGATTAGTGGCTACACACGCTACTGCTCCTAGACTGCTAACAGTCTAGAGCACAAAAGGCAGCAAAGCATTAGAGGAAACTATGGCAACATTGCAAACGACATCTGCTGGCACCTGTTGCAGTGATAAAATGAGTGGAACTTTCGTGACCTATTCTCACCACTCGGGTGTGTGAGGGAGGGGAGGGGATGGAGCATTCTGCAAAAATCACTTCACTTTGACTTGCCCCACCAGTAGTAGAAAATTAAACACGACAAAGGCCAGCTGGAAGACTGCATTATTCCATCACAGCGCTGCCGCCAACTCAGACTCCTTGTCTCGAAGATAACCAGGCACAAATTTCATCTACATCATTGTAGGTACACAGACTGTTAAACAATATGACGAAGATTTGGATCAGATTGACAGGCATATCATCCTCCCTTCAAGACTGTCGCCAATCAAACAAACGCCGTTAGAGAGAGTCCAAGAGGTGTATGTTTCCACAGAGACGGCAACAGTTGGAGCAAGTACCGCAGACATCCCAACATCAACACCTCTTTCCGCAGAAACACAGACGAGAAACAGGGATTTAGAGCCTAAAGGTTCGTTAAGTTTAATTTACTTGGCGCCGATTTCAGCCTGTAGCATAATATATAATCCTGCCCGTCCCACCTTGAGGTGATGTTACGATGCCGGACAAAAGTCCTTGGGACAGTAATGCAGTATTCATAATTTTCTGTAATTTCTGGCTTCCCTCATAAAACAGTGCAACCTTTCGAAATTTTTTTGCTGTTCTCCGACAAAGTCGAAACTGGGAAAAAACTTCTGGATATACGCGTCCAAAGTTGTTTGTGGGGTGAGGGGAGGGGTTGGGCCTGTGTGAAATGGACAACGTCACAGAAATGCAAAATTGCCCCAAGACTTTTGTCCATGATTGTAGCTACTCCCGCTTGGCTTTTAGTAATTTGTTATGGCGTTTTAACAACTCAACGTCATCTATTTTTACTTCTGAATGAAGCAAATTTTCATGAAAATTAGAGAGGGCTCACGTTTGAAGCAATCAATACTTAGGCGACGTAGGGTGACTCCAGTAAACACTGCTCCTTCATATTTTGATTTTTAAACTGACAGTGCGGTTGCATGAATATGGAAAACGAATTGTTTATATTTTTCGTGCTTTCGTAGATTCAACTCTGCAATTCTCATAAAATAACGAACAAATAACGATTGTTACGAGAAGTACAAGGTAGATGCTGTAACATTGCAAAGTAACCAACTGCTGTTCTGTTGTTTTGCCTTTGAACAGTTCTCACCTATGAAGTTTACATCCTGACGGGTGACAAGTTAGGCGCCGGTACAAAGGCTGCTGTGAAGTTGACTATTTTTGGAGAATACGGCAACTCTGGCGAGAGGCAGTTACTGCGATCAAGAACGCACAGATCGAAGTTCCAGCGAGGACAGGTAGGAAGATCGCGAATCGGAGCGAAAAGTAGGAACCCTCATATTTTTGTCTTAAATGTGTGCAGGATATTCCACTAAAATAATTTACTTTACGTCCCGGGACCATTCAACAAAGTCTAATACGGGGAGGTGCCATCCCGAAGTCCAACCGTTTACTCTTTTATATATACCATTTTTGGCAGAAATGGTATCCCTTTAGCATACCTTCCACTGAAAAATGGTACCAATTTCAATTCATCTCCCTGCTTAATAAGAATAAATCAAAACCAAGAGACTATAAATGGGACAGAGAGGGCATCCCTCATATACACCCTATTCCATAGGTAATTCGTCTCGAGTTATTTTTAACACCACAGATCTCAAGGGGGATTAGACAACAGCCAATCACATAGCGCGAATGTTTTCCGCGTGGATGACCCACGCTGAGACCCACGCGTCCTTCACGAAATGACGTAGAACAAAATGGGGGAAGAGGCTGAGAGCGATTTTGCTATTCCTTTTGTCGACGAAAACGACTACAGCGAGATTTCTGCGAAAGCCGTGTCAGCGAAACCGAAATTAGAAAAGAATCGCCCTTCCTCTCTTGTATAGAGCTAACAGTAGAGCAGGGAAATCCTTAACACACTGAATATTCTCTCAGGATCATTTATAATTTACAGTTTGAAGAGAGCAATTTCTGGTTTGATGTTTATTTTTTTCAGTCTTTATAGCGATTATTCCTACCCACTTACTTTGTCAATTGTAGGCGAACCCTCCTAAAGCTGAATTTCAAGGGACCATATTCAAGCTCAGAAAGAGAAATAAAATTTCGTCGTTGCTTATTTACGTCCTCCATAAAACGCGAAATTAGGCATTTTCACGTCGTAGTCGTGCAAAAACGGGAAAGAAATGAACAAAAAAGTGTGTTGCACGTGCGAAGTTGTTGTTTTGCTAATTAAACCTATTGTTTTTTTGACGTTCTAGTTGTCGTCCGCGTCGTTGGATCTTAAACTCCCTAAATTGTACAAACGACCGGTTTCAATAGACCGGCGAAATTTCTCATTTTATTAAAGCACTGAGGTTACGACAACTTCGAGTTAAACTGATTTCACGGGTTGTCAAAGAGTCCAGCGATTCCTTTTTCCCAGGTGAGCGCCGACTCATTTCGCTTCAATATTCAGGAATGCTCTCGATCTTTTTACGCTTTCATTGCCTCTCGCCCGACATGTTTTGCACGGCGTTTGGTCATGCGAAACCTCCACGAAACATCCACGCCTCGCGCGAGGTAACTTTATCCCGATTCTAAAAATAACTCGAGACGAATTACCTATGGAATAGGGTGTATATGGGGGATGCCCTCTCTGTCCCCTTAATAGTCTCTTGATCAAAACGGAAAGTCGTCCTGTCAGCTGTATAGCCATATAAAACAAAGGCGCGTCTTTTCGAAACATTTGAATGAAAGTCCTTTTTAATTACTTGTTCGATAGATTTTCCTGTCCTTTCATATATCCCATACCCTGTCAGAACCTGAACCCTGAAAAAGGTACCCCTTTCGGGCGGAGCCTCTCAGTATAGGCCATTATAGGGAGTACCCCTCGGGCTTTACGTAAGCTTAACCAAAACTAGTTTTCTGTTTTTTATTCTTTTAGGTTGACATTTTTGTCATAGATTCAGTTTTCCTTGGAAAGTTGTCAAGCATCAGAATTGGACATAACGAAACAAAGTTAGGTGAGTTAGTGTCGGCATCTGACTATCGGAAGTAATTGGTTCCTTCATTTTACTGAATGTTAAATCGTTGGTACTTGCAGGTTATGGTTGGTTCTTAGACAAAGTTTATATCAAGGAAGGTCCCGAGGCCACGAGAGCATTTGAATTCAAATGCAACAGGTGGGTGTGTGTTTTATTGCTGCGCGAGTGTTGAACAAAATCTGGAAGTTGATTGGCTGACTGGAGTTTGTCAGTGACATACCGTATAATGGCTGCATAATTTTTATCCGTTAAAGTTATTTAGGTCCCTCTTGGTCGATTTTAGCATTTTTAAATGTTTTTGTCACACGCCATTCCTCTAAGTTCACCTCATTTTATATAATTTTTGTTTTTTATTCAGGTGGCTATCTTCGCGCGATGATGACGGACAGATTATTCGTGATTTACCAGTCTGTGATGTCTTTCCAGGTATAACATACTTTGATAAGTCTCTTCTTGTTTAATCTTCTTGTGGTTACTAAGAAGCGCGCGCGTTAACTAGTGTCATTAGGGACTTTACAATCCGACGACGCGATGGTAGTGACAATGTCGCTTAAAAAGTGAAGTTACGTTCTTCCAGTCTTTATCGCGAATATTCCTACCTATTTACTATATCAAAAGTTGGCGTACCCTCCTGGAGTTGAATTTCTTGGATCCCTATCCAAGTTCAGAACGAGAAATAATATTCGTCGTCACTTGTTAGAAATTAGGCAATTTCACGTCGTGTTCGTGCAAAAACAGCGGAGAAATGTACAAAAAAGTGTGATGCACGTGTAAAGGTGTTGTTTTGCCTTCTAAACCTATTGTTTGTTAGACGTTCTCCTTGCCATCACGTCGTCGGATCGTAAAGTGCCTATTTTGGCGGGAAAACGCGATAGCCGCTGTCCTTCTACCATGAGTTCTAGGGACAATTTTAGTGACGGAAGTTTTATCATTTTGTGATCGGGTAGGGCTTAACTTCCTTCATTAAAAATAACCCGTATTAACTTTTCTGGTGAAAAGAGTAAAATGCAGCTTTCAGGGGTGTCTATTTTTGGAGAATACGCCAAAAAAAACTTTTAAGTCAAATCTCGTCTTCGGCCTCGAATCTAAAGGACCTAAAGGTCTGTATTTTATCCGCGAATTGGAAATGTTACGTAAAAAGCTCTTTTCTTATATAATATTTACTTTTATCATATTCGCTTTTTGCGCAGCGTCCCATCTTGTAGCTGTCCTACCAAGGATCGACGAGAGACAAGACGAAGACTTTTTCAGAAGCGCTAGTGACAGCGACAGTTTCTCAAGCGATGAAGATAATGTTCCTGCTCCTGACTTAAGAGAAGCTAAAAAGAAGCCAAAGAGTCAAGAGGAATCCCATATAGAGAAGACTTCAAAGCATGTGACCGAGCCAGTCGTGTCCAAACCCCCTCCCGTACCGACTCCCCGTGAAAGCGAGGTTCAGGAGGACGGCTTTATCGCTGTAAAGGCTGAAAACCTGTTTGATATCAGCGAAGGCGAGGATGACAAGCAAGGGGGTGTCGAGGAACTAGAAAACGAGAAGTTTTTCGACCCCGATGATAAGAGCGATAATTCCGAGAGCGAAGACGAAGAGGAGAATTCAAGAACACAGGGTAAAAAGCGAAGAGAGGAGGCAGAAAATTCAAGTGAAAGCGAAGAAGAAGAGAAAGATGAAGAAGAGGAAACGGGAGGTGAAAAGAGAGCAGCTGTAACAAAGAACGGGTCAGATAATCTCAAACTTGTCACTACTGCTATGACATCGTTCAAGAAAGCGGCTGGAAGGAAGACTAAGGATCAAGAGTTTGGAGCAGAAGAACAAGGCAAGGAAGAGGAAAAAATGGAAGAAAAAACAAAAGTGGAAGAACAAGAAAAAGAAGACGAAAGCGGTGAAAACGAAGTTGAACAGGAGAAGGACATAGAGGAAGCGGCGCCTGAAAAAGAGGAAGAGGAGGAGGAAGAGCCTCGGGTTGAGTTTACTGGTGATACAAAGCCTGAGGTAAGATCATTCTTTTAGTTTATAGACAGAAAAATTGGGGAAAAAGATTCTGCCATCTTTAACATGAAAAAATACTGCTTAACTTTAAGTAAAAAAAATTGCTCCGGAGAAATTCCGTAAAACTAAATTGTGTTGTTAAATGACACTCACTATTGAGCGGAACACGCAAGAGCACTGAAGAAATATAAGAGACCAGGAGCCGCTCCTGAATAGACAGACGCTAGCAGTTACACTCTCATTTGGGAAAAGGTTTTTTGTGCGTAGGTTTTGTTGGTGGAGAAAGCCCTTCTTTGTATGCGAGGCAACTTTCATTGAATTTTTCCAGACTTACGTATAGGCTTTAAAAGTTTAGTTTTAACAAGCTAAGTGTATAAATTAAATTGTCCTTTTGTAAAGGATTCAAAGCCAGCATACCAGCGCGAAAACAGGCTTCGTTAAGGCAAAGACGACGACGAAGAAGAAGGGCTAGAGTTTGAAACGTTGGCTTTTGAATCTCTTTACTGTGGTAAAATTGATATAACAATTTAGTATATACGACTCATTAGTGTTTCATTCCCTCACCAACGCAGTTTCTCACTTTCCTTGCCTTTTCCAGGCAGTCCTATTCTCGAGGCGTCGGATACAGCGCTGAGGGAGACTGAGGAAGTAAGGAGTCTCTTCGCTGTTTTTGTGCTTCTCCGATGCCTCGAGAATGCAGTGAACACCTGAAACGGGTTAGACTATCAACCTTCACTCTGTCGAGAGTTAGAGCGAACGAGCTTTAAAATTTAGAAAGATTTGCTTTTATCAACTGAGTTGGTAAGGTAAATTTGTGATTGCAGGGATATAGAGAAACTGATGCTTCGAGTCCTAGCCCTTCGTCAGAGCGAATCGATTATTTATTTCCGTACGGTGGCTATTTCTTCCTTATCAATACAGTTGATAAAACTAAATCTTTGTATTTCACTCCCCCAGCGATGCAACACCCCAGTTTTCGGAGAAACTAACCCCTTTAATTTCTACGCTCTTCTCCAACTGGGGGGCCTGTTTACCGACTGACTGATTGTGATAAATTCAAAGTCAATGATTTTCTTGACAGAACGAGCGTGAGCGACCTATTTCTGCCCAGAGTGAAGAATTTTTCGAGGGATTTAAGGCTGGAGTGCGCGCAAAACACGAGAAGGAACGAGAGCGACACAAGGAATCTGTACATGAAAGTGAAAGTGTCCTGAGAAAAGGTTTGTTAATGTTTGCAGCATCTGAGAATTATTGTGTTTTTGATAAATATTTAGCCTGAGAAAATAGCCGACATTTTGCAACACCAGGGGCACTACTGGTTTTGCCGCGAAAAGTTGTCTGAGGAACGACTGTAAAAATTCCGTACTTATGACGTGTCACTATCCAGATCTAGGTAGTACTTCTGATTGGTGGTACCGCGAGGGAAATGTGCTTCAACCAGTCAGAAGCACTGCAGATTACATGCTATGTTGTAGTCTCGTACTCAGAAAATCCGAAGTAGAATGGCGAAGGAAATTAAGAGGTGAAAAACACGGCGCAACTTTTCTGCCATGCAATTTTGCGATGAATATTGTGTCGTCTCTCTGAGCCGTTAGTAACGTGCGATTAGGCGTTTTGCGACATAGAGAGAGATATAGGAACTGTGTTTGATCGTAGGCTACTTTTAAGGTGGATCAAAGTGAACACGTCCAACTTTATTCTTAAATTAACACATGACATTTACTTTTTTTTTCCATTGATATTTTTTATCTAAGAATCAGCGAGAAAGTCAAACTTATTGTTTTCCATTTTTTCGCTGTTTCCCTCTGGATCTGTTTGGCTTATTGTTCGTTTGATCTTGGTAAAGTTCTTGATTGCCCTCTGATTTATCACCCGGTGCAATGTTAACTGCTTTTTTCTCCCGTTAAGGTATTTCAATACATGACGCCGCCAAAACAGGAAACCTTGATCGAATCAAAGAATTGATAAGCGTAGTTCCTGAGATGAAAAATAAGACTGATGAACGCGGTATGAACCCACTGCATCTAGCGGCAGCCAACGGCAGACTGGACTGCGTCAAGTGGCTAGCGGTCAGCGGTGTAGACCTAGCAGAGGAGACTCCGACTGGCTATACCGCCATGCATTTGGCTGCCATGAATGGTCACGTGAACTGCATGATGGTAGGTTGGAAAAGAAACAGCAACTACTACGAAAAAAAACCTACCAAACAACCAATAAAGAAAAAAACGAATTAGCCATTTCTAAGTTGCCTTAATCGTCTTTTTTAAAACAAGGGAAAGTGTCTTGTATCTAGCGTGGTGAAAAATTAATTATCATAGAAATTTTGTATAAAAGGTTTTCAAAGTTCGGAAATGGCACTTTGTTTTGTGGGTAAAGTTCGAAGGGCCATGTTAGTAACTCTTAAACTTAGGCGATATCTTGCAGCAGTTCAACAGTCTGAAAAATAAGTGTTAATGTGGCTAATAAGCTATATCGCGGAACGCAATATAGCTGAGGGAGTTAAGCAGCTGTTTTACCGGTCCAGAACCCAGTCTTGAAAACGTAAAGGGTAGTTGTTCACTGATTTACTCGATTATTTTTGGTTGTCCCAATCACACTCTGTCGAATTTCTTGGCGTCCATTTCTGGTTATTCATGTTCCGGTTTAAGAAGTTGTAAAAGCAGAACAATGAAATAGTCGATTCTATTGCTAGGCTCGATTACCAGCCGCTGTTCGGGAAAATGAGCCCGCACTCATCCCCCATCTCTTTTCGGGGAGGATCAAAGACCGGACTCGGGGGACGGCGGAAATCGAGCCTATTCTATTGCGAGTTTCTGCTAATTCCTTTTACTCTACAATTTACCAAACGGTCTAGAAAACTCCCATGTAGTTTCCAAAATAGCACACGTCCCTGAAAGCAATCATACTCTCTTAACAACTTATGAGCGCTAAGACATTTATAATACCGACACATTTTACCAATTATTCTTTACTGATTTCATTTATCTGTTTTTGATAAGATCCTCTCAGCCATGGGAAGTACGCTGAGTTCTAGGACAATTGATGAACTTACTCCTCTTCATCTTGCTTGTATGAGGTAAGTTGAATATTAAATTTGTAACTGTAATTTTGTTTACCCTCTAGGGATTCTTGAGGACTCGTTTAAAGTTTTCCGTGCGTTCCACATCGAAGTGTTGGTTTTTAAGGAGAGCGGAAAACTATAGTGCCCAAGTAAAACCTCTCTGAGCAAGGTGGAGAACCAACAGCAAACCCAACCCACATATGGCGTCGACACCGGGATTTGAACCCGGGCCACGTTGGTGAGAGGCGAGTGCTCTCACTACCGCGCAACCCTTGTAAATTCTTCTTAAGTGACCTAGAAACAGTACTTTTGTTAAAATGATTTTATTTTGTTGTAGCGGATTCACGGAGTGTGTAAAGTGGCTTATTGCTAACAGAGCCAAAATAGATGTGGTTGATAACAATGGACGTACGCCGCTGGATATTGCTGAGGTAAAATATGTTGCTTATCTTTTAGTTTGATTTAGTTGCTTTGCCCGTTGCTTAGCCTCCCACACAGATGTTCTTTTGGCTAGTCGCGCAATCCTCCGGAACGCGTGACGAAGCCCTAAGAACGTCCGCGTGGGAAGCAACTTGCTCATTGCTGCTCAGAGCAGTGTTAATTCAGTTTGTGCACCTGATTACAAATCAAAATTTAAATAATGTTTTCTTTGCTGCAGGAATACGGCCATGAGGACTTAGTTAAACTCCTCAGGAAATTCAGTAAGTTATTGTTGTATTTGAAAGCTAATTTTTTTATATTTCAGTTGGTTTTAGATTTAGCGGTAACTAACATCCCTATTTGTCGTTTAGAAAAAGAACTCACAAGACAAGACAGCACGCTTGCTCAACTAATGACCAGTGAAAGCAAGAGAAGAAAGAGGTGAACAAAAAGTTACATTTGTTAAAAGATTATTGTGAAAAATGTTTAGCAAGGCGGTGGGTCGTTGAGTTAGCAACTCTATAATTCGTATGGCGCATGTATCATACACATAAACTGTTTACAGGTAGCCATTTCGACTCCTGAAGGAGTGGACGATCATGAGGTTATCCCTACATTAAGAGCTGTCCTTACAGATTACCCACCCAGCCCAGGAAAGGTTAACCACACCACCAGGGTCTACGTCCCCTACTCTTTTCGAACAGTGATTCGGTATCGTGATGTCACAAGCAACTTTACTTCTCGAATCAAAGGCGTTTCTTCAGATCAGTGATATGGCTCTGAATTAGCCTGCAGTGCAGGCGTTTACTTCGGGCAAGCGAATCAAAGATGGCGGTTACAACAATGCGACGAACATAAACAAGCGGCTTTCGCCCGCCCAAAATGCGCCTGCACTGCAGGCTAGCACTGAATGAGAGAGCCGCGTTTCTTTGCTGCTTGTAGTATCGATTCTATAGGAAGTGATCAGGATGATACGGAACTGTAATGCTATAAAAGCCGCTTTTCTTTGCTGTTTTGTAGTATCGATTCTATAGGAAGTGATCAAGACGGTGTACCATCCAAAGTCTCTGACAGCGGAGTTGGTGGATTGGAGAGCGGAGAGGACAGTTGGATCAGTGATACAGAGGTCAGTAACATCCTCCGCATAGTTTCGTTTAGAGGAAAAAAAAAGATCTGAGATTTTATAGCCTGTGTACAGACGCTTCCTCTGTACACAGGTTAAGATTTTAGACTTAAGAAAATTTCACAGTGCCGACACTTGGCAGTAAACATCATCATTGACGGACTTTCTCCGTACGAGGCTTATCTCATCAGTGCTTACTAGTAAGTAGGCTTTTTTGCTTAAACTGGCAAACACTAAGCTAAAGGAAATTAGAAGTGGCTGCTTTGATAACTTCAACAGGGAAGCGGTTGCTCAGAATCGTTGAGTTTGAATTGAAGTTGAAGTTTTGAGATGACGCTTAACCCCTTGACCACGGATCGGGTCATTTCGGGTCAACATGGAACCATTGAGATTTTGCATTTCTGAACCGACTTAGCTTTCAGTTTAAGTAATTAAGTTGATAAGTAACGAATTCAGGGAGGATAGATCTTTGCAAGGATTCTAGAGACAGAAAAGAAAGGAAAAGGAAAGAAAAAGAGAAAGAAAACAAATGAAGCTTAATGGAAATATGCGAAAAAAATATTGAGAATCTCATTTTTAGCCATTTCTATGCTAACTGGTAGAAAATTAAAAAACCGGTCCTGAAAGGAGAGGTTTGTAAAAAATGTGGATTTTTTTCGCTACTAAAATTCCGTATTCCAAGGTATAAACGACCTTGCATTTAATGCTTAGAGGTTGACATTTTCATTGAGAGACTGGTTACTTTGCACCGCATAATAGAATACACTACGTGGAAATACAGCGTAGAGGCAGAAGTCTAATCTTGGATTCTCCTAAAGAAGTGCACCCGAAGTTACGACTTTGAAGTATAAGTTGATGAAAACCGTAATTTTAATAAGAATGGGACAGACGATGATGCACATTCATTAAGGAAAGTGTCTCAAATCGTTTTGGAAATACTTGCTGTGTGGAGCACTGTTATTTCTGAAACAAAACAAAAAAAAGACAAACATAAACCTAGTCAGCTTATGAAACTACTGATAGATCAACTTATGACAAGATTTAATACTTTTCACCCGTTTTTAATCTGTGGACGAAATTTTATGGTGTTACTATTCAAATAAAACCTCTTTGGTAGAACTTTGGCATACTACTTTTTACTTCTTGGTATTTTACGAAATGAAATTTGATTTTTTTAAAAAAATTATTGCCCTGGACACTCTAAGGAAAGAAGGGTAAAGTAATCGAGAAATCACTCTTTAAAGATTGTGTTTTGGTTCAGCAGGAGGACCTAACAATAGAAACAATGAAAGACTCACGGCCGGACTCAGCTACCAGGCAGCGACCGGGCTCAGGAAGGGAGCGTCCCGAATCAGCCTCGAGAGCCAGGACAGATTCCATCATGTCAATGGAGGTTTGTATGTCAGATTCTGTGTTTAACCGATAACACCATAAGCGCGGATATCTTACCAAGTTTTGTAAGAGCTTGTCAGCCGTGAAAAGCGCCATTGTTCTTAGGGCTCGACAAAATTGTATCACACGTTAAAAAATCAGTAGGACTATCAATCAATCAATCAATTTGACATTTCTTAAACTTCAGGGAAGAATGGCTACAAGCTTTCTCTGCTACGACGTCGGCTGGGATCTGTCGGGTGGACAAGCGTTAGTTATGATTGGTCGATGGCAGAAACGAGAAACGATCCCAAAAGTCTTTGCGCCTCCTTGGCTTTTTGAGTTGCCTAAGCCTCCGTTTCAAAACGAGGCTGAGTGCGAAGCCATTGACATGGAAACGATTTTTTATTCTCATGCAAATCATTTAAAACTCATTTTCACAACAAAGGTTTTGCACCAAGCCTCGTTTTGAAAGTGAGAATTTTCGGAAATCGGAAATGGCCTATTAGCGTAGTGGCGAATTCAAACTCAACTTAGATGGTGCAAAAATATATGCAGTTTTCTGGGTGCAATTCTTCTTTGATTTACGTTTGCAGTTTGTAAAAAACGTGCTCCTTTTAGGGCAGGTGCCTTTCCAAATTGAATGGATAGGTGGATGATTGAGAAGACCAGAAAGTTTGCTCTTATTGTCTACATTACACTGTCCGAGTTTTCTCCGTAACACCAGTAACGATGTACGCATGCAGTATTATAGTAAACATGAGTTTCAAAGAAAGTATCATTTTATGAATTTTATTTTTCTACAGGACAGAAAGAAAAACTTTGAGAAGCAGCAGTCGAAAATGAAGAAAAGAAACTCAAGCTTCTTGGACAGTATTAGGATGGAAGTGGAAAATGAAGAGGAATTTTGAGGTTTTTTTCTTCAAGATTCGTCAGTCAAGCTTCGTTTATATACAAGAGCTGGATAATACTTCTACATTTACGCAAGTGGAGCAAGATACAGCAGCCGACTGATGTTTAACAACAAAGAACCTTCAGCTAGTTTATAAACTTTGCATACGGCTTTAGTTTTTCAAAAAGAAGCATAGAGGGTAAACCAGACTTGCAAAGAACCCCTTTGACTTTACAAAAGTGTATTATAAATCGTTACAACTGCAGGTTGTAATGACTACATGCACAGACATGGTTCATTATTTATGGGGTTTATAAAATTATCTATTTTGTGGGAAATACTTGTTTACACTTTAATAATAATAATAATACTAATAACATTTATTTATACCGCGCAAATTCAACTATACAGTTTTCAAATGCGCCTGAAAACTGTATAGTGATCAGCACTTTATCCACTAGAAAGAGTACAACGATAGTTGCATTGACAAAAATTGTCTTTTGATTATGTTAATTTTCTCAAATAACGCGATAATATATGAGTAACCCCCAGATGATGTAGATAGAAGATTTTATACATTCTGTACAGTACTTGAAAGCGGACCAACAAATTACGAGTCTAGTCGTCTTTAGGTCAATAAAGTATTCTAAAATGATTGAGACCCACATACTGTAAATCAGTGATTATTTAAGCCACGTGCAATCAGACTCAACAACTGCCTACATTAATTAATTAAAAATGATGAACATACTGTGTTCTGTGTTTTCACTCACGTGGCCAGCATCCATGCAAATTCATTGGAACAAAAGAAAGCGTTTACATAAGAAAAGAGTTCAACTCCCACAGGACTGGTTTGGGGCGCAAACATGGCCGCCGTTTCATTGTTTTGGGACAAAAACATGGCCGCCATGACGTCATGTGAAAACACAATTTAATTTCGTTTAGTGAACTGCAGGATGAAGAAATAAATGCAGAGAAGATCATTTCAGTGAACCCTTTAAGCCCCAAGATTGATCAGCATCAAAATTCTCCTTGTAATATCAATGCTTTGTAAAACAGAGTGGTCATTAGAATTACCGACGTGATCACACAAAATGAATTTGCTTGATATTTTATTTTTTATTTGTGGCGCGAAATTGAGAGCGGAGGAAAAATAAACAGAAGAAAAGCTCACTGTTTCTTCCATCACAGGTGGGTTCACATTGGACTTTACAAGTGCACTTGAGACTAACTTGTGTGTGAACGGGTCCTGCTTCACTTGACTGATCTTGACTAGTCGTGGTTAGTTGCCACAAAAACGTCAAAACCTGAAATAAAGTGCCGAAATGCGCTCTCAAGTAGAGTCTTCCTTGAGACTGCAATTATCCAATCAAAGCGTCGAAGTTTATTATCAAAGTGTCAATCATCTCGAGCCACAAATTTCACTCTCGCATGAATGAGGATACTGATCTCCACGAAATGGAAGTAGGTTTTTCTCAGTTCAGGTTCAGAAATTTCACGATTTCCTTTTTTCCACTGTATTTGACAGCGGAGACAACGTTAATGCAAGACTTGGCTGTGAAAACGAAATTACCTATGTCCACGAAGAGCGATTTCCCTGTTGTGCGATTCGTTGAATGAAGCTCATTCTTTATTCAACTCTTTCAAGCTCGTTTTTCGTGTCCACCTGCAGCAATAAGCATTCACAATTTACAAGATGAGTCTACCTCACGTCTCATTAAAGAAACAGGAAGCCATTACATTTACTCAAAGAAATTGTAAAAAGCGAACCAGAAAATAACGTGGATAAAAAGCAGAAGAAACAGCTAGAAGAGCTTTAGCGTGAGAGTGGGACCAAAGTAAGAATTGAAGCGCTCATAGAGTGTAGAGTGACATTTACGACAAAACTCAGGGGCACCCAACGTCAATTTTCGAAAAATATCTGTTCAGAAGGCAATTTGAGATCTAGAATTTTCGGAACATTTTTTGTAAACTTTCTTGCTTGCCTGCCTCTCCTAGGATTTTTGAACATCTAAAAAATGGTATAATTGCCCATTTTTAACGGATTTTTACCCTAAAAAGGTCATCTAGAATTTTCGGGAGCCTTTTTTCGGACTGAAATTTTCGAAAAGGTAAGTTTTGATCGCTATAATTTTCTGATCACTAGACTTTCAGCTATAGGAAATCCGAACAGATGAAAAATGTTAAGAGGATAAAAACATGCCTATATCTACCGTTTAAATACTAAAATATATTTAACAATGCTATATTTAAGTGGTTTTGAACTATACCGTAAAATTCCGAAAATAAGCCCCTCCAAATATAAGCCCCCCAATTTCGTAACGCAAAAAACCCTCCGTTAGTATAAGCCTCCCGGGGGCTTGTACTTGGAAATTGCCCTCAAATACAAAGTAAATCAAAGCAAAAGCGATAAATTTCCTTTCAACTATGAGGCTAGCCCCTGGCTAGCCCAATCGATTTTGAAACGCAAATTTGCCTCCGTAGATAAGACCCTCCGAATATAAGCCCATAAAAAAAGCCCCTCAAAAAGGGCCTTTGAAAAATATAAGCCCCGGGGCTTATTTTCGGAATTTTACGGAAAGAATACACAATCTGCACGGAATACGATTTTGAATACTTGAATCAACGAGCTCAAATACAGGCAAGGAGAGCTTTTAGAACATCGAAGAAGGGGAAGCATCTGTCGCATTGCTATCCTTTTATTTTGGCACTGTTCAAGAAAACTGTTGTCAATAAACGGAAAATCACGCTTTGCAATATATTCTACGGCTCTTGTGTCTTCGCAGACGCACATGTACGACAATTGCTCACTTTAACTTTAGTGTGAACGCCATTTTCCACTAAAAAGCTGAGTGCACTTCAAGTGCTTGTCAAGTGCACTTGGGGGTCTAGTGTAAACCCACCTAGTACTTAACGCCTGGAACAAGCCAAGTCGAAATCTCTTTAATAATATTGTGGCAGGAAAAACCGAATAACCGAGCAATTAACTTCAAAGTAGGCCTGGATACAAAAATCCCGAAAATAGCCTAAAACTCTATCCGAAAATACTCCAAAAAAGTCTATAAATGCCAATTTTATCCCTAAAAATCTCGAAATTCATTCTAAAAATCCCTATTTATCCCAATTTTTTTCGAAATAATCACATAATTTGCATAAAATGCGGGATTTTGGTGACCTGTACAAATTTACCACAGGTCCTGTGGTCAACTTGCATACAATCACCTTCAAACTGATTCAGCATGATTATCTATTTACTAGACGATGTAAGTGGTTTGTCACGTTTACGTATTTATCCTTCAAACAAACGATAACGCATCGGTCAAATCGAAGCTTCAACATCGCCCCCCCCGGCAACCCCCTGGGGATTTGACTTTTGTGAAAATTATTGTTCAAATTCCCCCCTACCTGGGCCAAAATGCCTTTCAAATGCCCCACACTTAAGGGTCCATTCAGGTGATCAAACGGCCCCCACCCCGGGGACATTTCACAGGGACAAAAATGACAGAAGGACGGCGGAAACGCCTTCAGTTGTTGAACAAAATCTTTATAAATATAACAAAAACTGAGAAACACTGTTAGTGTATTTACTACGAACTAAAGTCTCGTGCAAAGCGGCGGAAATCGCTGCTACAAGGTCACTGAATGCTCAGCTTTTCTTCGTCACGCAACATACAAAGCGTTCTATAAAAAAAGATCCCACCTACTGAGATTACTACATCATGACCATTTCACTGACATGCATCATCGCTCACCTTATTAATTAACATACTTGCAGTAGGTCAAAGTAGTTGACCTGAGCTTTTTATTTTATTTTATATTGTTTCTTGAATCGCCGGTATAGGTATTGTATTTCATTGTAAGCACAACAATAAAATACATTCATACATTCAAAGCCTGAATCCAATATTAAAAATTTTAAAATTTAAATACTTCAAATACGGCACAAAGCTTGTTTAAGTCCTTTCCTCGCAACCAATTGGCCACAAAGGTACAATCTTTTCCACGAAAATCCTCTAACACCTCGTCCCCCATGATAGCTCGCCACGCCAATGATTTTACATGAAATCGAGGGTGCAGTTCAAATTCCTCACCCCTAAAGCATGGGGATCAAATTCCCCACCCCCTGGAAGACTCTGATAATCAAATTCCCTCCTCCCCGGGACGGCAAAGGTGTCAAATGCCCGGGGTATGCCCGGGGGAGCATGTTGAAGCTTCGATTTGACCGATACATAACGACAAATAAGAACTTAGTAGAGCTTGACTGTTCATGTGGCATAATAACAGTTTTTTTCTGAACATTAAAATCCTAAAATTTTCTAAAAATTTCTTAAAATCCCATTTGCCTTTAAAAATCCTGAAAAAAATCCGGACTTTTGTATCTCGACTTAGTTTAAAGATCATACAGAAAGGGTTTTGTATTTATAAGCGGTGTCCTCATGCTCTCTAATAAAAATTGGTCTTTATAGTTACTGTCCATGTTCAATTCAATTCAATTCAATCTTATTCACACTTTTATAAAATATTTACATTATATTTAGCAAGGTAGAAATACACTGATAAAGGAGAAGAAGAAGGAAAAAAGAAAATTAACGTCGTGGATAGAAGTGTACGGTGGTCAGAGGAGCCTAGCTTTCGAGCTAACCACGGCTTTTTTTGTTCTCTACAAGACCCTCAATTTAGCGATTTGCAGATAAACGAAAGGGATTGTTGCACTTTTTTTTTGCCCTTTTTTGGTGAACGACGATGTCTCGATCCTGGCAATGTGAGACAAATTGACAGGTGCCCGTCAAAGTAACTACATGTCCCACCCTCATGTCCACGCGAAACGCCTCCATCCCCGTTGAAACCAACAACCCTGATCGCCTGCACAGATCTGGAGGATGGAGCAAGCGGGAGAGATGGTAGGTTAAATAAATGGTGAATTTTCCTCTTTTAATGATAACACATTGTCGTATGGCTTTGTTTCCAGTGTTGTAGACTTATTTTTGGGTATTGATTCGTTTTTATGCAATCTTTCGTGGAAACTTGAGGAAAGGTCGAACTTGAAGAAATGGCGCGTGTTTCCAGGAAAAGGCCTCAGTTAAACTCGCATAACCATAGCGATAGCCTTGGCTTGTTTATGAGACG